CCTTTTATGTCAACTGGATAGCGGTGTAAATAGCAACTATCTTATAATAAGTAGGACCAAAATTTAACAAGGAATATGCTGACAGAACTTATAACTAGCACAAAGTAGATAGTTGAAAGAAGACATTGGATTTCATTACAGAGTTTGTTCAAACTTAGTTTTAATAACTGTGAAAATATCATTAACAAATCGATCAGTAGACATCATTACAGTGACGTTGTATTAATTACTGTTTTTGTTTCAAAGATTTGAAAGTTATTAAAACTAGATTTATTTCCCAAACTTTGATATTATGAGCAATTCAAAACAAATCGCGACGTCACAAACCGATATTTCCATACTTGTTTTCAAGGATAACAATAGAGAAACACACGTTTTGACAAATCGTAAAAAGTATTTTATTGTAATTTTCAACACATTAGGTCCCTTTCCCAAGACAATCCAGTTTAGCGGGATTCGGTAATGTAAATTCGAACGTATCGGTTTTTTGCGGGACACTGCAAACTGGACGCTCACTACGCACACAATATTACAACACGTTTAAAACTAAAAGTTATCCTGCAAAAAAACGGATTGCCTCCATGGGAAAGAGCCCTAAATAATACCAATGTTCAAAACATTATTCATACGGTTCGGTAGTTCATTTTGATAGCAAATTGCTCACATTAAACAGGAAATATTAAACTTGATGGGAATTCTAACTGATAAACAGCTGAGCAATAAAAGTAAACTTTCCTCTTTAAAATAAAGTCCTTCCATCCACTAAAGCGCTTATGATCTTCAAACGGCTGAACAATCTTCATAAGCAATAGCTAAGACTAACGTTCACCCGACACCCGTATTCACAAACATTACTATGAGGTCTCACAGTGCGCGTGGACGCACAGGGTGACACAAACCAATCACCGAGCTCTATTCAACGCTGTGCGTTCCATTTGCTGCTTCACTTAAAGCAAGCATCGTTTGTGAATACGGGCGTAAGAACCATATTTTAATTAAAACAATAAAACCGCATCAAAATAGGATCATTCGTTTAGGATACTTCAAACTTATAAGATAGACTCCCCGCAGAAAACAGATTTTTTGTCAGCCTATAGTTTAGTCGGGCTGTTAATCAGTACGAACATGTATGACAGTGCGCAAATTACACCGATTTGATCGGCTGATTCTTTATCTAGGTCTGCTCCAGGGAACTATTTTAGGACCACTAATATTTCTAATTGATCTATTTATCTACAGGGCTGAGCAATTCCTCAAAGGTTGAAAAACACTGCTTTATACAAATTAGAAGCCGACTAAAAGTCTGTAGTCTACGTAAAATCTTAACTAAAGGAGGTTAAAAATAGTTCACAGTGTTTACCCCACTTCTATTGTTTGTATTTGGTAGGAAAAGTATCCATAGCAACAGCATTGGTGTTTGTGTTACGTTTGTGAACGACCTATTTTATGTTATCACTAGCCAGGCTTAGAGTTAACAACTTAACGCAGTTAAGTTGTTAACACTTATGATGGGTTACTTATTTGATAATTCGTTTAAAATTTCGCGTGATGACCCCGTTTTTGTTTGGTTATTTCGAACTTGCTTTTTACTGGGAATTCGTCCGCTTAATTTTGTCTGTGAAAAGAAGCGTCAAACTGTACTTTTTAGTCTTTTTATGAGAAAATTCACAAATATTACCTCTATTTTTCTATATCTACATTTGGGCGACGAAATCCCAAAATTCATGAAAATTGATCCAGCAATTTAGGCGTGTAAACGCAACAAACAGAATTTAAAGCCATTTTCGCATTATTAGTAAAGAACTAAAGATCTTGCGATGATGTTACATAAGTATAATAGTTAAAATATGTAATAAGCACATGGCTGTGAAGAAACGAGCATTATACATTGAAATACATGAAAACGTTGCATATTTCAAATTCTCTCTAGACGGATGGCCTTCGCACTAAAAAACAAATAAACAGCAGTTATGTTTTGAAGCCACGATAGCCGAACGGTGAAGTCAGTCTAGCCGACTCGTGATCCGAGGATCGCGGGTTCGATCCCGCCGCCGCTCGACTATTGTGGTGAACCCACTCGTAACACAAGCATAATATTTAGCTTACCCCAAGGGGTTCACGGAATTATTTAAAATAAAAAAATGTACAAAGGGACATCAATATAAATCTTGGGCTACACGCACGCGGAACGCGGATTGGCTGCGGGCAATACACAATTCAAAATCTTTGGGCAACATCAGCGTATTTTACACGCACGCGGGCCAGATCCGCACGCGTGCCCGAAATCCTCACGAAAGGAAAAGGCACATCTATGACTGAAATTGAGTAGTGTCTTCGTTCTTTACTATGCAGTTTAGTTTTGTAATTAAGATGGATGTAGTTACGTTTTAATATTAAATTCGGACCAATCACAGTATCAATCTATTTTAGTGAAGGCATACTCGAGTGTATGTCGGAGAACGGTGAAACATCTTTCGTAAGCCGACAAGGTGTTTTGCAACTACGGAATCCATATTCCGCTCAATACCTAATAGAATCCAAATAAATCATTAGATTTACCACAGATCTATATCTGTGAGATTTACCCACATTAGTGGGTGAAATAGAGGGCAAAAGTTTGTATGGCCCATACAATATGGGAAAAAAATACTAGAAACCCGCGACTTCGTACGCGTGGATCCCGTTTTACCCCTTAGGGATGGAGTTTCGTAAAATCCGTTCTTAGCGGATATGCCCATTGTTATAGGTAGTTTCTGAGATTTCTTGATTAATCAGTGAGTGGTATTTCGCTTTTATTTAAATTTAGATGAGTTTTTTAAGAAAAGATAAGTTTTATAGCTCTCGGAAAATGACACAAGGTATTTTGTGCGGTGACAAACCGACATCCGGGAAAAGTCGCGGGTAAAACCTAAACTAAACAATACTTATTTAGACAGATTTGTTTATACCTACTCTAGACATCCGATAAGAATTTGCAAATTCATTTATCTCCGCGATAAAAATGGCATGACAGGCCTTTATCACTGATGCGTTCCACACGTTCGAAATAAGCCCATTCTGGCTTAATCAAAATTATTTCGAGATTGATTGAGTAATAAACAAGTGTCAATGAACGGGGAATAGACGGCAGGTGTGCACATCTTTTGTTTTCTTGTCAAACAAAGCATAATACACGGCTAGTCAAAGGTATCCCCCAAGGAAGTACGATCGGTCCTGCGCTGGCCGCATCTAGGCGCATACCGCGACCTTCATCAGATCGTCAGTCCAATGATTGGGAGGAGGCCTACACTACACTACGTCTTCCGGACCGGGGTCATCACTAGAGAACTTTTATGCAAGAATATTTCCCGCTCGCTAACATTTAATTTAAGATTGGCATTCTGCGAGTTCTCTTAATTTCTTCAAACCCGTAGTGAAATCATAGCCAGCAACATCGCTCGTTAATTTGTAGAGCCTTCTTATGAAGCCCCATAGTAAGAAAAATAATATTTGAAAAATGTGACGACCGAAATTGGCGCCCAACACGTTAAGATAAAAATGGTCTGATGTGTGACGTAGTAATTAAATCATACCTAATTATGTAAATTATCTACTTATCGGTCATTAACACTACAACTACAATTTATTTCTATTGCACAACTGGATATCTAATTAATTACAGTGATAAGGAGTAAGGACGTTTGAAAATGCCATTTTTAGAGCAGTATCCCTGTCATCCATTAGGGTGGAGAATCGAATAGCAATTCTTAGCAAAAATGGACACAGATTCACAGCAAACATATGCAAAAAATGTACAGAATTATCGTCCTAATGAACAATACATTAATTTATAATCAGCTTCGAAAACCAGTTTTTAATTATAACACCAAGCTATGCCAATTAGTTTTAAATATCTAAACATTTATTGAAAATACAATGTTCACCTTACATATTTTAATATTGCAATATAAAATTTACATTTACAAATAGAAATCACATTTAACATAGCCAAATGTTTACTATATTAATAAACTAACGATACAATAGATATATTATTATATTACGATCCACATTAAAATATACATATTGCTTTATAAGCGTTTGAAGAAATGAGATCATTTCAAATTACGCGGATTGCAATTGTAAACCAATTTGTAACGGAAGAGTTTTCTTTAAAAATGATCAATTTACAAATTGACAAACTTTTTTTCGTCTACCAATTAAGGCCCAAAACACAATGAAACTTTAACGTAACTGCTGTTTTGTGTTAAAGTCCGGTCACCAAGCACGTAGAATTTCGTCCATTGCGACGGGCAGCCGCAGTGTGTGAGCGCGACAGCAATATAATTACACGCGACGCGAGCGAGAAGGATGGGTAGCTTGGGGTCATGGGACGAAATTCTACGTGCTCGGCGACTGGACTTTACACCAATATACCCTGTGTTTTAGGCCTAAAATTTAATCAACATTACCCATTCAATACAACATCTATAGATCATTCTGAGGTGTTTATAGGTTTTTGAGATATTTATCAGTTAAAATCAACAAAGTATTAATATATTAGAGTATCTTTCAAAGAATCAGGACCTGACTGAAATCACTGAGATAAGAGTTTTATGTCCGTTTTCACCATCAATCCATTTTTAAGTGACCTCTATGAAAACAAAATGCCTGTTAAGTGTTACCATAGGTGAAAACGGGCATTAGATTCTTAAATTTTGTACACAACTAGGAAATAAGTTTGTAAGATAGTTTTTTTTTTGTAAAAACTGATCAACAATACCACTTGTCGATAAGTCAATAACCTTCAAAGCCAAACTGTAACTATGTACTGTTAACTCCTATATTAATACTTTGTTGATTAAACTTTTAAGTTATTTATACTTTAACTTTAACCAGTAAGGTTAATTAATAGTTTATAAGAGTATTATTTGATTGTTCACAAAATATTTTTGTATGAATTCCTTTGTATAAAATTTAAAATTTGTAACGTACAATAATTGAGTTGATAAACTATGCGATAAAATTTGAAACACATTTATTAGGTACTTTACTTTTGTCATACAAAAATAAATAAAATACGGTGTCACCTTTCATAAAATCTAAAGCGTATAAAAGCTTCTAACTCACAGTAGCTGCGAGACCATGAAGAATATGAGCATAAACTGCACGATTTGTACCACATCACTGTAAACTTGTCATCTCGAATGTTCCTTAGCGGCAGCGGTCAACGCCTGCCCCATCAACACTCTATCACCAGTAGCGAACTCAAACTTAAAGTCTCTTGGAGCCTCAAAAAGTAGTATGATTGTACTACCCATGTTAAATTGACCGAATAACTCTCCTTTCTTCAAATTCACTTGACCAAGCTCGATTTCATCAACTCGGTTCCGTTTTCCTTTTGTATTTGTTTGCAACTGAGGATCGCTGTAAATCTCGATTGAGCCTACATTCGTAGCTCCAACTGCAGTCATGCTGAAGAAGCCGTGCTTCCATTCTCCTACGTATACAGCTCGTTCGTTCATCGTAAACAGGCCTGGTATGAGCTTTGCCATCCAAGGGTTTACGGATAATAATTTACCAGCGAAGTGACGTCTGAACGTAGACGTCCAGTCACATGGTGAGTGGAATCTATGGTAATCGCCAGGTGCAAGGTAAATGATGCATTGGTGAAGTATATTTTCTTTGTTTGTGAGTAAAGAGTCGTAGTAGCTCGTCCCTTTGTTTTTGGACCATTTATTGTCGCCTAAAAACTCTTCTAAGCTGTATGTAACACCTTTAACTTGCTCTATCTTGTCAGTATCGGCTGGACCACAGTTCAGGACGACTCCATCGCAAGGAGACACGCACGGAGCAGGTGCTATGTACCTCACTCCGTCTCTTAGTGGTCTCGTGAAGAAGGCAGAGAGAGATTTGTAGTATGTCAAGTCAGGGACGGCTGCCTCGTTCAAATTCACGTTGAACATCCTAGCGTACGTACCGTAGACCAGATTTCGGAGCGAAATCGGCAGCTCGCACGCCGCCAGACGGCCCCATAGACGGCTTGTGACTCTAAAGGGGAACATCTCGTAAAAACGGATCTCCACTTTCGACACTTCATAATTAATACTAGCACGGATATAACACCAACCCACGTACATCACACTGCCTAAAGGCACCCAACGGGTAATTATCGCGCGCAAATTCATCCATTTCGTCTTTTGAATCTGCGTTGCAGTCTTTGTCTGCGACTGGTGTTGATGAATAGTAGAAGTCTGACGGAACGGCCGATGGGGACGTAACCGCTGCTTGAACAGCGGATTTATTACTGGAAGGCAGCTCCGAATACGCGTCGGAGGGAACATTTCGCACGGATCGACCGCCTTCCGTCGCGTTTAAAAATAATTTGTTTATTTCCACAAATTAGTACGCGGAACAAGGCGAGCGAAACGGCAGAAAAAATGCGAGTGCGTTCCGAAGCGGGGCAAAACAAATACTGTCGGTGATATCAGACAAATCACGAGATAGTGTCGCAGTCAATGGAAGTTTATGAGGAACCGTTGATAAAACAAACTTATCTTTCTCGTAGACGCGTGAGCAAAATAACTGCTACATGTTCTCATTACACTGCAAGATAACGTGGTGAGATTAGGATTAGATAAAATAAAGTAAAATGGTATTTGAACGTGTTTTTCTGGTGTCAAAAAACCAATTGTCAATGTCACAAAATGGTCGTTTAAAAACCAGAGCCCCGATTACGGTAACTTTTAACGTCTACAATCCAGACGCGTTTCTGATTCTGCAATACGATTGCACAATCAGAAACGCGTCTGGATTGTAGACGTTATAAAAGTTACCGTAATCGGGGCTCTGTATGAACCAAGTTTTACATTTTTGTTGTAAGCCTCAAATATTAAATTAATACTTGATAATGATATTGTTTGTGAATGTTACCAATTTCCTCCATTTTTAATTAAATAACCATGTCGAGAACAAAGCCAAAAATTCTTATTTTATAAAAAATAATTAGTGATCTAAAACAAGTATTCGAACGTAACTGTAGTGCTGTGCCTGTGTATGGATTTTTTACAAATTACCGGTTTTCTATTAATATTATTCCTTTTACTCGCCTCGTTTAAATGTTTCACCAATGTAATTTGATAATTTGGTAATGGCATTTGATAAACATTCACTACTTATAATAATTGTTCACTTACATAACAAAATTAGCCTTCCACGTTTATATTAATCGATAGATCGATTACATAAAAGCGATTTTTACGGTACCAGAACATCTCTGGCATGCTTTAAAAAAATAAAATTTGACAGCTAGTCTACGACGACGATGGCCGAATTTGTCGTCTGTCTCGTACTGTCCGGAGTATGACATGTAGCGTTGTTGACATTTTTGCCGATATATTTAGTTTTTTCCTTTCGTTATTTTATTTTCCCGCGTTCATTTTGCCCCCATATGTCTACTAATTACAATGGAGCTGATAAAGTGCCAAAAAATACGTCGAAAAGCCGGAGGAGCCTCAAACGTATATTCTCTGATTCTGATGAGGAAATCAAGAAGATTGGCGGCTTTCGGGGCTTCGACAAGCAGCCAAAAGTGTTGCTGGAGCGTTACGACATATCTCCATACCTAAATGGTAAAAGTAAACTGTCTTTAAAGACGGATTTTGCCTCTGTTTACTTGACCGAGGATCCGCTCAAAGTTAATAAGTTATTGAATGAATGCGCTGTTATACTTCAGAGGCAAAACTTGCCTGAGGTGAAGGAGACTGTTCTCAACAGGTCTCCAAGGTCCGACGTGTCTATAAGCGAGCTGGACGAAAGTATGGCCAGCTTGAAATGTAAAATATGTGATAAAGTATACGCTAGTGAGAAGAAACTACTGAACCACCAGGAGAATAAGCATATGATAGTATACAAGCCTGAGCCTAAGCCACATAAACGTGTATCGTTCTCCGATCATATTGTAGTGCACGAGGTTCAAGAGTACCACAAATGCAGGAAATGCACTAAAATATTCAAAGATTACAAGTCTCTGAAGAGCCATATGAAACAAAGTCACAAGAAACGCAAATGTTACATCTGCCATTACTGCAACAAGAACTTTATTGACCGAATGTTCTTCAAAGTCCATATTAAACTTCACTGCGACATCTGTGGTTTGTTATGTAGAAATAAGTCAAGCTACTTAGCCCACAGACGTAACGTATGCAGAGCGTTGAAACTACATAAATGCAAGACCTGCGACTTGTCATTCTATAGATTTATGGATCTGAAAGATCACAGCTACGATCATATGAGCACATATTTCATCTGTGATATCTGTAAAGATCAATTTCCAACTAAGTGTGCAGTGTCTCATCACATTTCGTTCTTGCATTCCAAGAATCGTCCAACATCATTGTACGGAATGCGTAACTTAGGCAGTGATAGACTATATCTGTGCAATTTCTGCGATGAGAGCTCAGTGGATAAAGATATTATAGAAAGTCATGTGCAAACGCTACCGGATTTGACAAACCGAGCCATGACTGGGTATAAAGACTTCTACTTCTGTGACCAATGCTTGAAAAAGTTTGGGACAGAGCAGGACATGTTGCAACACAAATGGACGCATTTCTTGAAAACAAGTGACAATTCACAAGAGCGGCCACTTGTATCTATTTTATCCAAGAAAAAGGATGTTAAAAAGAACCCTTTTAATTTTAACATTAACGACAAAATTCCAGAACATATGTTGCCTACTGTTGTATTAGAAAGAGTTGATTTGGGAAGTATAAAGAAACAAGCTGCTAATAATGCAAAAGTCAATAATAATGCAAAAGTTAATGATAATGCAAAAGTCAATAGTAATGCAAAAGTCAATAGTAATGCAAATGTCAATGGTGGAAAGAAAACTATTAGAAAGACTTTGCTCTCCAAACATCAGTGTCAGGTACGTAAAATGATTTACAAATTTTTTATGTAACATGCACATAAAGGTAATCGATGTAGTAAATGCTACATCGAGTAGTGTAAGTGACTGTACTAGTTTGTAATTTATGTAAAAAATAATTAATCTTAAAATTTTAAATTTTCAGCTGTGTGGCAAATACTATTCTTCAAATTACTGCCTGAACCGCCACATTGAAACGCAACATATAGACTATGAAAACCTCAGATGCAGAGTCTGCGAAGAAACTTTTGTGTGGCCATCTCTCCTCCAGTCCCATCGGTGCATACGTCTGAAGATACCGGAGATGCCGTTTGATGATGCAAGACCGGAGATCCACTTTGACAACCTCCACGAAATCAGCCAAAATGGTATTGATGACTTCAATATAGATGATAACGATGATTACATGAGTACAGTAGACTTCGAGATTCCTGCGCCTATTGTGGAACTAACTGAAGGTACAAATGCATATAAACCTAATAATATTAATTGCGTTTCTCCATTGCAGAGCTTAGGATATAAGGTTGTAATGCAAGAAGTACCAATCGAATTCTAGTTTTAAGGTCATAGCAGACTTATCAACTCGGAAAGGGAACAACACCGTATCGCCTTTCGCGAGCTGGGCTGATTATGCTAATTTTTAACGTCTCCAATACAGACGCGCTTCTTCGATTCTGCGATACGATTGGTCAAAACAGCTGACGTCTGTCTGTTGGAGATGTTAAAAATTAGCGTAATCGGGGCACTGTTGTCACCTTTCGCGCGCTGTCATTAATCGAGAGGCGAGGCGTTTACGTTAAGGTTGCCTCGAGTTGATACGGTTACGATACCTTTCCGGGTTGATAAGTGTGCTACGTCTTTTAGATCGTAAGAACTATTTTATGTGTCACTGAAGTACGTAAGTAGACGTTAATGAGACTTCCTAATATTTTTGTGTGTGCTCAGTTCAATATTGGTTTGTTAAGTATTTCTAGATAGAATTTTAAAATCATAGAAGTCTGATTTACTTAATAAAAGTATTTTAATGTTTTTGTTCTCATAATATGTAACTGGGACAGGAAAAATCTAAATTTTTAAGAAGTTTTACATAAATTAGTATAGACACAAACATGATTAGATATTTTGAATCAATGCACATTTTATTGGCTACTGATCATTGGCGGTTATTCCCACTCGTCACCCCTAGCTTTGTCCCTGGTGACGAGTTGGAATTTTTCTGAAAAAAATCATTTGTTATCAGATTTAAATAGGCTCTGAGATTTTTTTTACATAATTAACGGTGGTTGGTCGTATTTTTTTTACCGAAATCAACAAAAACCGTCTAAGTTGTGGAATTCTGACCTGTTCATAGTTATCCATAATATTCTATCGTTTGTGTTGTGAATATAGTTGTGCTTATTTACCTACACATAGATGCTTAAAATAATGTTTATCTATACAAATATTACATAGTCGAATTGATCCATTCTGTAAAGGCCATTATACTAGTTCTAAAACCTTACATTTGTTAGATCATCTTGCAATCAGTCAGGATAATATTAGCAGGTTTATTTTAAGCAGAGATAATGATTCCCAGTTGCCCCCACCATTGAGGGCAACTGGTAATTTATTTACATAAATAGAATAATGTCCAATTAGATTATGTCCATTATGAAAATTTTATTTAAATCCATTTGATAGTTTTCGAATATCGCGTTCAGATTCAGTTAGACAGGCGCTACTTTGTTTACCGACTTAAAAAAAGGGAGGAGGTTTTATGTTCATTTATAATTTCATTGGGACATTTTTGTAAATAAATTCCCAGTTGCCCCCAGTGGGGTGACAGTGATAGGGGCAACTGGGAATAACCTTATGATGGGTGATTAAAGTTAATCCCTATTGAGTCTCCCCATAGTTAAATATGGCCATCTGAATCCAGAATGTGCCATTTGTTCAATAGTCATCCTATAATTTAGTAACTGAGCAAGATTACAATTTCTAATCATTTATCTTGCCTGTTATTGTGGGTCATTATTATTATTTGACCTTTTCTAAACTGATAAGTATATTTTTGCGAATGGTTACTTGACATTCTGTTATTGTATTAAGAATTATGTTATTCTTATACACATAATTGTTTTTTTTTTCTGATTTAATTTAACATTATTATTTACTCACATCTTACTTAATTATTGAAATAACGCAAAATCTGATTTTTATTTTAATAGACGAAAATAATTCAAGAGTATTTTTTCTGCAGGCACTATTAACTTCTCTACTAGGCGTAATACACAAAAAAATATTTTCATTAAAAATCCCCCATCATTCTGAACCAATTATTAAGATTTTGCGTTAATGCAATTCATGTTACATTATTTCTTTAGTACATAAAACGTTGTAGTTTGATATAAGTTGATGTTACATAATATTATTATGGCACTGAGAATCTATTTTATTATTAGATATATTATTACTATTTTATGGCTGACAAACTCGTTTTGTGTCAAATTTTATGTTAACATAACATACTGATTGGTTATCATTTATATTTTCAATTATTTTTATAAGTAGAGTTAAAATTATAGGTAGTCTCACGTTATAGAAGAAGACATTGATTTGTTATGCATGCGAAAAAAGAACATATTTTTATTTTACACGTATTAGGTATTTTGCTACCTAAATCAAACTTGGCTTCAAAATATATTTTATCAGTAAATTAAGGACATAAGTACATATTTACTATACTAACAAAAACAAAAAAAAAATGTAAATACCACATAGCTGTATGTTTAAGCAATATTGGTAATTAATAGAAAGTGTGATTAAAAATTATTTTGTAAAAAATTAAATACATAAATGGTGTTACCTATCTTTATTAGTCGGTGAGCCATGATTATTAGTATTATAATATCAAAATATTATGTTAGAATGGTTTGGTTGAAATATATTTCTTTTTGCACAGTCTGTTGTATTTTTTTTTTTGCATTTTTTTAAATTCATTCCCTGTTGCCCCCAGTGGGGGCGACATTGGAGGTGACAACTGGGAATAATCCCCCTTTCACTGTTCTAGCTGGTTTAAAACTTACATTTCTATTAATCTTTGACAAAGACGAGCTTATCTGCTGACTGACATCTAACTTACGATTAAAATAAATAATTATCCTCAGTAATTATCATGGATTTTGGTCTAAAATCTCTTAGGTTCCCATGGCGAGTCAAAATTATATATCTTTGTAACTATTTTATGTAAATAGTTTGATAATTAAAAGATTCAGAAGATAACAGAATGAATAAAACAGAAATAGTATTTTTTTTTCAAGTTACTAGTGTTTAATTATTTATTTAATGAAATTTTAATGTTATTGCATTTTTTTTAGTTTATTTCAAGTTTCTGAACGGATTTGGGCGTCGTCCATTAGTGATGTGGAAAAACGTAAAAACATAGATTGATTATTATACTGCAATCGATAATTTTTTTTTCAATTTTAAAGTATTTTACCAATTATTTGTTAAAACTACACCGATAATGATAATTGTAACATAAACAAGAGCGCATTTGTATCAACTGATAAAATAATCATTATTTAGTCTACATTAATTTATTGTATGTCGATTGTCTTTTTTTATATCGATTCTAGTGAAGTCATCATACAATCATTAATTACGGTTTTCAACAACACTAGTGGCCATGTTTTGCTGTCAGATGGTCGCTGTATTTATTTTCTGAATTTTATAGAAAAATCTCACTAAAACTACAAATATTATCCGTAATTTATATCTAGTTCCCTTTATTGTTGCCTATATTCGCGTTAACAGCGTTAAAAATTGTTAAATATTGTAAAATTAGGGCGTTTCAGTATATCCGGTCACGGAGTGAAATTGCTCTGTATTTTAGTGGTTTTTCAGTCCTAAATCATGTCTGTGAGTGAAAAGGTGTCGCTTTCTGACGCTCTAAGTAATGTGGATGTGTTGGATGAACTCACTTTACCAGGCAAGTAATTTTTTATCATTTTTATGAATGATTCATTCTGTATGCTATTAATTTTAGAAGTTGGTACTTCCTACACTAATCACTGATAGTAGGAGCTAGGCGAAACTGTATATTGCTATAATTAGACAAATTGAGCAATAAACATATTAAGTATTGGTTGTTGTCATAGTATTCACTTAGTTCCAAGATATAGGGACTCAGTAGGGGGTAAAGCATAAATTCTCTCTAAAACTGCCATTCTATAAAATGTTTAATCTCTATTAATCACTTTGGTGATCATGAATTATTAGCTGATATAATTATTTTTTAAAATTCCTTCCTGCAGTCTTACTTCCTACTAATATTATAAATGCAAGTCTACATGTTTGTTACTCTTTCACGCAAAAACAAAAAAAAAAGCAGGCACAAGCTAGTATGTGTAATATTTTTAACAAATTCCCCTTATATTATACCTAGGACCTGATAGGTTGCATGTAATTATCAAAACCAATTTTTGAGTGTGCTATTAAAATTTCTTAGCAATTAGAGTTGCTTCTCAAACTAAATTTTTAATAAATAACTTGAAATAATCAAACTGCCTAAGGTGGAAATTAAACTCACGATTGAAGAGCAGTTTGCCAAGCCTGGAGCGAAATGGCGCCTAGCATGTGAAAGGTCGTGGGTTCGATTCCGGCCTTAGGCAGTTTGAATTTTTCAAGTTGTTTATTTAACCGTTTTCGTAACATTGTTGCTCTGCTCCTATTGATCGTCGTGTGATGTTGTATAGCCTATAGCGTTCCTCGATAAATGGGCTATCTAACACTGAAAGAATTTTTCAAATCAGACCAGTCGTTCCAGAGATTAGCGCGTTCAAGTAAATAAAAAAACAAACTCTTCAGCTTTATAATATTAGTATAGATTTTGACTGTGTTGTTTATATCTCCACAGATGAGCAGCCATGCATCGAAGCGGCTCCGTGTTCTATTCTCTACCAGGCGAACTTCGATACCAACTTCGAGGATCGCAATGGCTTCGTCACCGGCATCGCCAAGTACATCGAAGAGGCCACTGTTCATGCCAACTTGGTCAGTATTTAGTAGCTTTAAACTAAAATTTACGACCATGTGAAGTACGATTTAATATAGCTATTAGTTGCCATTTTGTTTACTGAAATTTTGATTAAGCATGATGACAAATTTTATTGTATCCTGTAGTGGAGACGTGAGTGATGATGATGATGAATTTTTAAAGATTCTGCCTTCATCTCTCTCACAGTGCTGATCTATAGATAAACATATTATCCATTATGCTATCTCCTAAGTATGTTACTGATCTGTTGTAAGAGAAATAAATAAATTATAGGAATTGCGGTGGATATGATAAAAGTCCCAGTTAGGTTTAAAAAAAAGTATCTCACTGCAGTAAGTTCACCACAATACCTAATCCAATGGTTGGTAGAGATCAAACCAGTATTCCTTGTATTTTCGATTGGCATTCTGACACATAAAATGGACTAGAAAACAAGACTTATTGGTAATTAATGACCTGATCTACATTCTTCATTCCAGAACGAACTCCTCGAAGAAGGCAACGCGCACGCAGTTATGTTATACACCTGGCGTTGCTGTAGTCGCGCCATACCGCAGCCGCGATCCAACGAGCAACCCGACCGCGTCCATATCTACGAGAGAACGGTCCAGGTCCTGGCTCCCGAGGTGGACAAGCTGCTGCAGTTCATGTACTTCCAAGTAAGTTGTACCATTCATATAGTCTGGTCGCCGAGCACGTAGAATTTAGTCCAATGACCCCAAGCTACCCATCCTTATCGCTCGCGCGTAATTATATTGCTGTCGCGACTGTACGACGGGCGCCCGCAGTGAGTGTGCGAGCGCAACAGCAACATAATTACGCGCGAGCGATAAGGATGGGTAGCTTGGGGTCATTAGTCATTTCAGCATTTTCAGCCACAGGACGTTCACTGCTGCAAAGAATGTGTGGTGACATCTATAGTTGCTATTACAAAGTGGTGACAGGCATCGCTCAACAGATGGCGCTGATGCGTGCTTACTAAGGCACACGCCTCCGCACCTACAAACCTGTATCGCGGTATCAAAGTTTTTCGCCCTGACTAACTATATTAGAAAATTAACATGGTAAGCAATTGGACCTTGGTGCTTGGTTCTCGAGTATGACAGTGACACCTGCTTGGAAGGAAGGAAGAAAGAAAGAAATATTTATTGCAACAAACAATTATAAATCATCAATGCAAGGTCCACCTTTAGCTAGCTTGTTTTAATGGTTGATCCATATTCCACACCCATATGGCGTCTCTTACTTGAGTGTGGCTTGCCAAGTCTGTGCTAGCCCCAAGTTTACTTAAGTAAGTGTGGTCCTAATGGAACTTACCTGAAGGTCGAGAGTCGCACTTGACCTGGTGGTTCCACTAGCCGCGCTCCAACGAGCAGCCCGACCGCGTCCATATCTACGAGAGAACTGTCCAGGTCTTGGCTCCCGAGGTGGACAAGCTGCTGCAGTTCATGTACTTCCAAGTAAGTTGTACCATTCATATAGTCTGGTCGCCGAGCACGTAGAATTTGGTCCAATGTCCCCAAGCTACCCATCCTTATCGCTCGCGCGTAATTATATTGCTGTCGCGACTGTACGACGGGCGCCCGCAGTGAGTGTGCGAGCGCAACAGCAACATAGTTACTCGAGAGCGATAAGGATGGGTAGCTTGGGGTCATTGGACAAAATTCTACGTGCTCACAGACCAGACTATAGTTGCTATTACAAAGTGGTGACAGGCATCGCTCAACAGATGGCGCTGATCCGTGCTTACTATGGCACACGCTTCCGCACCTACAAACCTGCATCGCGGTATCAGAGTTTTTCGCCCCGACTAACTATATTAGAAAACCAGAATGGACTGGACCTAAGCAATTCCTCCTTAGCTTTCCATGTATAGTGTTGATCCATATCCCACATCCGTATGGCGTCTCTTACTTGAGTGTGGCTTGCCAAGTCTGTGCTAGCCCCAAGTTTACTTAAGTAAGTGTGGTCCTAATGGAACTTACCTGAAGGTCGAGAGTCGCACTTGACCTGGTGGTTCCACTAGCCGCGTTCCAACGAGCAGCCCGACCGCGTCCATATCTACGAGAGGACTGTCCAGGTCTTGGCTCCCGAGGTGGACAAGCTGCTGCAGTTCATGTACTTCCAAGTAAGTTGTACCATTCATATAGTCTCGTCGCCGAGCACGTAGAATTTAGTCCAATGACCCCAAGCTACCCATCCTTATCGCTCGCGCGTAATTATATTGCTATCGCGACTGTGCGACGGGCGGCAGCAGTGAGTGTGCGAGCGTGCCAGCAATATAATTACGCGCGATAAGGATGGGTAGCTTGGGGTCATTGGACAAAATTCTACATGCTCAGAGACCAGACTTTAGTCTCTGAAGATATTTTTAACAATAAGTATTGTATTGTTCCAGCGCAAGGCAATCGAACGTTTCTGCGCGGAAGTCCGCCGCTTATGCCACGCAGAGAAACGCCGCGACTTTGTGTCGGAAGCGTATTTACTAACGCTGGGCAAGTTTGTGAACATGTTCGCCGTGTTAGACGAGCTAAAGAACATGAAGAGCAGCGTTAAGAACGATTACTCTACGTACAGAAGGTTAGTTCTTCTTAAATGTCTTAGCTACTAAAGCTAATGAGTTATTAAGTTATTATAACGAGCTAGTTCGTCAACATGTTTGTCATTATTGATGAGCTAAAGACCATGAGGAACAGCGTTAAGAACGATTATTCTTGAATGATCAAACGAACTTACCAAGTGAAGTTCGATCTAAATTATCCTGAAAAAATGGCTACTGGTTAACATCGCGCGTTAACTTGGAGCTAAAAATGGGTCAAAGTTACGCGTCGTGTCACAACGCTTATAATAAAAATGTACGAGCACTTGCACAAAATAGTTGTTACAACCAACCTTTTGTTGGGTCTAATTCTCGTCACTACACTGCACAACTTAAAATAATTACGTTTTTTGTCGGTAAAAACGTCCTGGTGACGTCACTTAAGCATTTTTCTTATACTGCGTGCGGTCGTTGCGCGTGCGCACAAAGGAATGAGACCGCTCGGACACCGAGCCCACAGCGTGGTAGGGGTGGGGTTGCCCGCTCTTTTGTTTTTTAATACTACTACGCTGAATATTGTGTGCGGATTGGGTTGTCGTACAGGGGTACTACATGGTAAAATAAATCTCGGAGGCGAAAGCAGGATAATACGTACAGAAGGTTAGTAGTTATGGAGAGCTAATGAGCTATCGCGAGTTAGTTCGTGAACATGTTTGCCGTGGTAGACGAGTTAAAGAACATGAAGAGCAGCGTTAAGAACGACTATTCTATTTATAGAAGGTTAGTAGCTTATAAGCTATAGTGAACTAGTTCGTGAGAGGATACGGCTAGGTCTACCCCAGGGAACTATTTTAGGACCACGAATATTTCTAATTGATCTATTTCTACTTACCCTCCAGGGCTGCTCAATTCCTCAAAGTGATGTCGGATAGCCAAAGTCTGCAGGAATCCCAGAACCTATCCATGTTTCTGGCAACACAGAACAAGATTCGGGACACCGTGAAGGATGCACTCGAGAAAATCAATGGTAAGTGAAAAAAAAATACATTATATTTTTACCTTATTTTTTGTCTTTTCTAGCACTGAATATTAGAAATTACTTTCAATGAAACATAGTGTATTTCTTTCGGATGTATTAATCAGCCGAATGACGTCCAATGATGACAAAAATTCAAAACAAATCAAAACTTTTTGCCGTTTTACGCCTCCCGCGCACTTAGGCAACCTGACTGCGGCTGCCAGACGAAAATATGACGGTGTATTTCATATACCGCATTCAAAGTCAAAGTCGAAACTCCTTTATTTGCATGGACTATTAAAAATAGTACTTATTAGTGCGCGGGAGGCCGTAAAGTTTCATCGATAATTGTTCAAAATGAAAGAGTAAGATAAATTCATTCTCAAAAACTTTTTTTATACTTTTAGTAGGATAGGACAATAAGTTATAACGCAATATACTATTCGGTAGGTTACGAAGAACTGTTGGCTGATGTAGTCAACATCTGCGTTCACATGTACGAGACGAAGATGTATCTGACACCGTCGGAGAAGCACATGCTTGTGAAGGTAAATAAATAATAAGTATAAGTTAACTTTCATTCAATTTTTTACTTCTGTTTTTCATTCTTCAAGAACAAAGTTAATAAAAATTATTAAAAATGTTTCTGAAGAGGAATATACTTTGTAAATCTACACTAATATTATAAAGAGGAAAACTTTGTTTGTTTGGTTGTAATGAATAGGCTCAGAAACTATTGGACCGTTTTTAAAAATTCTTTCACCATTCGAAAGCTACATTGTCCACGAGTAACATAAAAAATAGGCGCGTCCACTATAAGCTATATAATGTAGTCCACGCGGGTGAAGCCGCGAGCGGAAAGCTAGTGTTTCAATATAAACAAAGTAGCGAAACGATCGCGATATAAAATTTGTCAACGAATGTCACTTTCACCCGTATTCACAAACGATACTTGCTTGAGTGAAGCAGCTAATCGAAAGCACAGCGTTGAATAGGGCTCTGTGATTGGTTTGTGTGTCAACCTTTGCGTCCACGCGCACTGTGAGAACTCATAGTAATGTTTGTGAAGACGGGAGTAAATCCAGCCGCAAACTACAGACTTTTTGTCGGCCGATAGTTGGGTCGGGCTGTTAATCAGTATGGAGATGTATGAAAGTGCGCACATTACACCGATTTGGTGTCGGCCGATTCTTCAAACAAATTAGAATCGGGCACAACTATCGGCCGACTAAAAGTCAGTGGTCTGCGCCTAGGCTAACTCTAATTTTAACGAAATTATATTTATCTACAGGTAATGGGTTTCGGCCTGTTTCTAATGGATTCCGAAGTGTGCAACATCAATCGATTGGATCAGAAGAAAAAGATTCGCCTAGACCGGATCGACAGGATTTTCAAGGTAACATTAACGGAAATATTCCCACCTCTCGTTCCCACCGCTGCAACTCCTGTGTAGCCAGGATCTACAGCTTGACCGCCCAACCCAACCAGTGAAGGCCAAGTTTGTCCCGGGGGAAAATTGAAACTGGTATTTTATCCGCAACGAAATTAATCTGAAGAACAAGGTAAGATTACTCAATAATATCATCATCAGCTATGCTTGGTGTTTCTTTGCGAGATCGAATCAGAAATGAGGAAATCCGTAAACGAACTAAAGTTGCTGACATAGCCCGACGGATTAGCAAGCTGAAGTGGCAATGGGCAGGGCACATAGTACGCAGAACTGACGGCCGATGGGGCAGCAAGGTTCTGGAGTGGAGGCTGCGTACCGGAAAACGCAGCGTGGGACGTCCACCTACAAGGTGGACTGACGACATCGTAAAGGTAGCAGGGAAGCGCTGGATGCAGGCTGCTACCAATCGATCAACGTGGAAAGCATTAGGGGATGCCTATGTTCATCAGTGGACGTCCTATGGCTGAAATGATGATGATGATGATCATCATCAGGTCATTTCTTGCCTCTGAAGTCTCGCTGATGTTTGAAGTCTCAAAAACACCGAGTCGCTCCCATACTAAGTTAAGCGTTAGAGCTACAGCAAGGATAGTCCTCATTAACCAGAGGCAAATGAAGGATTTGGTCTACACTCCCCACGCTAACCAGACGGGTTAGGACTTACTATTCTATTCTTTTAGAAGACAATGTGACGTTTATTTTTTATTATTTCAGAATCTGGAAGTGGTCCCGTTGTTTGGTGACATGCAGATCGCGCCGTTCAACTACATTAAGAGGTCCAAACATTATGATCCTAGCAAGTGAGTATTGTCATCAAAAAGTCATAAAAGTAATTTATATTCAAATATGTTTTTTAAGGTTTAGGTTTCCACTGGGGCAGAAGAAGTTCTCGAGTGGCGACCACGAGCCGGAAGACGTAGCGTGGGCAGGCCTCCCACTAGGTGGACCGACGATCTGGTGAAGGTCGAGGGAGGTGCGAGCGCAGGACCGGTCTTAGTGGAAATCCTTGGGGAAGGCCTTTGTCCAGCAGTGGACGAACGAAAGTTTTAAAAGCTTTTTTACACGTCCTATTACGTTAACCCTATCACTGCTTCGGGACAAAAAATGGGCCAGTGCTTAGTTTTCTGTCATTGTGTTGTATTTTCTGATAGATCTAGTTTATTCTGTAACCTATTATGGATATCGTTTGAAAGAGCTCGTGAAGCACTTTCAGGATCAGTAATTGGTTTTCTATATGTTGTATAGTTTAGAAATAATCAAGTGAGATCACTTATCGTTTCCACCCTGTATAACATTACCCTACAGTCAAGAGGGACGGAGCGAAGCAGTAATGAAAAATAGAAAGAAATAAAGAAGAAATGTTTATTCTGTAGGTATCAAAATCAAAATCAAAAATATTTATTCAGTTTAGACCACAAGTGGCACTTATGAACGTCAATAGAAAATAACAAAAAAAGAAAAGGTAGCCCTTATGGGGCACTTTACATCGAAATTACATTTACATTTTATCATCGAAATTACATGAACAATGATACTGAATAGGTATCCACTCGGCATGGTGTCGTAGCATCTCAGTAGATAATGCCACGACGCTGGTCTTCCGTGGTCATAGACAAGGAGAATGTTGAGTGAGTGAGAATGAAATGTTGCGAAAACGGGAAATATTATTCTCTTTTCACGCGTATGAAGTCACGGGCACAGCTAGTAGTATCTACAATGTAATTCCCCTTACAGATGGCCTCTGTCGTCGAGCCCGAATCCGCCGTCCCCTCAGGCAGACCTGATGGTCCACCTGCCTCAGATCAGGGAGGAGCACCAGAACTACATATCGGAGCTGGCTAGATACAGCAACGAGGTGGGTTGTGTAAAAACTATAATCCTCCTTCTAGCGCAGTCGGGTAAAAAAATTTTATAAAAAAAAAAAAAACCGACTCCAAAAAACCTACACTAAAACGTAGAAAAATAATTACTAATTACCTACTTATTTACTAGGACGAATTATTAATATTTATGTAGGTATACCATGATTGATACTTCTGGAGTCGGTGCCAAGATTATGAAACATGTAAAGTTTGCCTGCACCGACTCCAAAAGTATCAATTATTTTTCTACGTTTTAGTGTAGGTTTTTTGGAGTCGGTTTTTTTTTTTTTTATAAAATTTTACTTATTTCTTGCTTTTTAGTTAACTAATTATTACCTTGATGTTACCACTGAAGGTAGGCAGTACACTGAGACCAAAAAAAATTGGTTCATAATCGGCGGAGATATTGCGTATAAAAAAGTTCATCCCCAATTTTCCACCCTTGGGGGTGAAATATTTTCTTCAAATTCGCATGAAACCACCCTTTTGATAATACCTATTCAACAAAAAAATAATCGTTCAAATTGGTTTATAATCGGCGGAGATATTGCGTATAAAAAAGTTCATCCCCAATTTTCCACCCTTGGGGGTTGTTTTTTTTATTATTAAATTTAAATGGGACCACCCTTGAGGTATTACCTATACGCCGAAAAAAGATTTGTTCAAATCGGTTCATAATTGGCGGAGTTATCGCGTAACAAACATAGAAAAAAAAAAAAAAAAAAACATACGGGTCGAATTGAGAACCTCCTCCTTTTTTGAAGTCGGTTGAAAACTTACGGATGAAGTATGTTACCACTGTAACCGGTATTTTCTGACCGAAAGTCTTACGCCCGTATTCACAAACATTACTATGGGGTAATTATTATTACTGAGGGGATTGCTACCATGTACCTTAATTTTGAGTTTCCGATATTTCGGCACTGTTGCAAGCGCCATGGTCACGGAGAAACTGAAGAAACTTGCGGATGAGATGCTATGGGCAGACATATCGGTCTACCCCCTGATTCGAATGTGCAAACACCGAAGAATTGAACAAAGTGTAGTACCGCGGTCAGGTACTGTAAGTGTTGTGTGTCGAGAACAGTTACGAGAAAAAGTGAGTTGGCAACAGTGGTACGGGAGGAATCGTAATAAAAGACTGCGAAAGAGGGTAGACCGATATGTCCAAATTAACAGTGTGACTTGATGGGATTTTTTCCCAACGAGTCACAGTGTTACTGGTTACAGTGTGACTCGTTGGGCAAAGTCTGCAAAAAGCTTTGCATGTGGAACTCATATCATATCGACCTTTATCTACAGGTGACAACTACCTTCAAAGAAGCCGGTTCAGACGGCGAGAACAAAGCCGTATCCGAGCTATGCTTGCGAGGTCTACAGCTGCTGTCATCTTGGTGTTCAGTGCTCACTGAACTGTGCAGCTGGAAGCTTCTACATCCCACTGACCACGCTACCAACCAGCGCTGCCCGCCTGACGCTGAAGAATATGAAAGGGTAAGAGAATGAAAAATAAAAACTCCCATTTTCTACCATTTCAGTAGTTTTTTTGAAGAAAAACTACCATTTTGGAAGTTTTTATTTTAAAAACTTCCATTTCTACCATTTTAATAGAATTTTGAAAAAGTAACATTTTCTACCACAGTCCATGTCCATATAAAGACAGTTCCTACCATGGTGGTAGTTTGTTTTAGTAAATTTTGTACCATATTAATAAGTTTAAAATTATTTTTTACCATGAGGTTGTACAAAACGGTCTTTTTGTTAGAAAATGGACAAAAAAAAAGATGTTTCGTGGATAAGAATTGAAACAATACCAAATACAAGTCAAACTTAAAAAAGAAAACACAAATAATAAAAAAGAGGTCTACACTTTTTTTTAAATTCAACCATTTCCTGCCACAACAGTAATTTTAACCACCATTTTTGTTGCAGGCAACCCGCTACAACTACACATCCGAAGAGAAATTCGCCATGATCGAGGTGATCGCCATGATCAAGGGTCTCCAAGTGCTGATGGCTCGCATGGAGACAGTCTTCGCTGATGCAGCCAGGAGGTCCATATACGCTGAACTGCAGGACTTCGTTCAGCTGATACTGAGGGAACCGCTGAGGAAAGCCATTAAGAACAAGAAGGACCTTATTAGAAGGTAAGAAGTACTATTTTCTCCTGTTTTTGTTCAGTATTTTTTAGATTCCTGAAGAACATGTTAAAAATTTTATGCTCGGTGTCTCTTTAAAAGATCGAATCAGAAATGAGGAGATCCGTAAACGAACCAAAGTCGCTGACAGCCCGACGGATTAGCAAGCTGAAGTGGCAATGGGCAGGGCACATACGCAGAACTGACGGCCGATGGGGCAGCAAGGTTCTGGAGTGGAGGCGTAGGACGTCCACTCACAAGGAGGACCGACGATCTCATAAAGGTAGCAGGAATGCGCTAGATGCAGGCCGCTACCAACCGGCCATTGTGGAAATCATTGGGGGAGGCCTATGTTCAGCAGTGGACGTCCTGTGGCTGAAATGATGATGATGATGATGTCCAAGTGCTGATGGCTCGCATGGAGACAGTCTTCGCTGATGCAGCCAGGAGGTCCATATACGCTGAACTGCAGGACTTCGTTCAGTTGATACTGAGGGAACCGCTGAGGAAAGCCATTAAGAACAAGAAGGACCTTATTAGAAGGTAACAAGTACTACGAGGGGTGTTCAGAAAGTAATGAGAATGGGATATTTCTAACCATCACAAAAAATCAGAAAAAAATTGGGCAGCTAGCTTAATTCTTCACTAGCCCTTTACCTACGGGGCCGTTGGAAACCAAAGTCGCCTCTCAATACGGTGTATTTTAACCTATACAATTGTTTGCTCCACTTTACATCAAGATATTTTAAAAAGTATGAGGCTTGCGGTATTGAAATTTGGAATATTACATTTTCCAACTAATGTAGTTTCATAATTACAAGCGCATTTTACACTTAATTTGCAATTTTATTGTTTTTTTGTCGTAAACCGTAATTTAGTATTGGCTTTGCTAAAATAACAATAGATGCCACCCGTATTGAGAAGTGACTTTTGACTTGACAACTATAGGTGCCTCCCGTAGGTAAGAGGCTAGAAACTGGTAAAAAAACCATTTAAGTTCACCATTGCGGTTAAGAATTACATTTACCTGACCACGACTATTCGGAAAGACCTTGTTTTCTGTGGCCAAACCACCCGTTCACAGCAGCCCTAAAGTTGCGGTATCAGCCAAAAAAAAATTGATGCGATTGATGTACAGTCACGGAATGAAAAGGTTCGTCAGTTTTCAAATTGATTCCTTCAACGAATCGCGGGCACATATTACCCTTTGAAACTATGTTACAGAATAATCTCGAGTTAGAGAAAATAATCTTTAACTGTTCGTCAGTAAAGTTCAAAATTATTCAGATCAAAATTGTTTGACGATTTATCTTGTCAAGATTATTATGATTGATAAACTAAAACCTTTGTAGGGCAGCGAAGATGTTGTAGGTGTTGATGATTGAAAGGCCGTGGTTTCACTAATTAAGTTTATTGCCAGGTCTGCGCAGTTTAATACACACAATCACAAGTGTAATGGCCGGAGTACGAAACGCTACTGGGCGCGAAGGCGCTCAAAATACATACGTCACAAGATCGAACGAGTGAAGGAATGAATGAGTTTTAGTGTTGGAACCCAACAACCTTCTTGTTGGTTCAACCTGCCATTATTATTTCTTAAAAAAAAAAAAAACTACATTTTGTAACATTGCATGGGATAGAAAATTAAACAAGCAAAACCTTATTCGTTAGCAAACGTCATATTTATTTAAATGTTAGCAGCACTGTTTCTTGCACTGTTATGTTGGCGGGTTTGACTCTTACAGTACCTAGTGCAAGCGAAAACCGACACTAAGGTGACGAACCTTTTCATTCCGCGACTGTACTATCGGCAACAGTGTTAACTATCCATTGCCTGTCATGTCGTCTCGTTCTATCGCAAAGAATCACCATTTGATGAGAGCGAGAGCAAAAACGGAAATGGTTGTTGAATGGATAGTTAACAGTGTGGCCGTGTGTACATAATTTTGTTTTATAATACAGTTTGTAAACAACTAACATTTGTCCACAGTATAATAGTATCAGTGCGCGAAACGTGCGGCGATTGGGCGCGCGGTTGCGAGCCGCAACAAGACCCGGCGCTCCGAGGAAAGAAGGATGGCGAAGCTAGTTTCACGATCAAAGTACCGCGGCGAAACGTCGGTGAGTTGGAGAAAAAAACTACCATTTTGGTAGAAACCACTCCCTCAGAGAATGTCGTAAGACAACTAAGTGACAAATATACAAATTAATCATTTATTTATAACTAGCTTTCCGCCCGCGGCTTCGCCCGCGTGGAATTTTGTCTGTCACAGAAAAACTTTATCGCGCGCGTCCCTGTTTCAAAAACCGGGATAAAAACTATCCTATGTTCTTTCCCGGGACTCAAACTATCTCTATGCCAAATTTCATCAAAATCGGTTGCGAGGTTTAAGCGGGAAAGCGTAACAGACAGACAGACAGACAGACAGACAGACAGACAGAGTTACTTTCGCATTTATAATATTAGTTGGGATAAATCTCCTTTTCTCAGGCCCATCATCAACCCAGCTGTACATGGTCCGGACACAGCTAGAAGCGCTAATATCGGACAAGTCCGGCGGACGGCGGACACTGCGTAAAGACCTCGACGCGACCACGCTGCAGCAGATCGAACAGTTCCACCGGTTGAGCTTCTACTGGGGGTACATGCTCAATCTGTCGGGTGGGTAAAAAACTACCATTTTGTTAAAAAACTACTATTTTGGTAAAATAACAACTACCATTTTAGTTTAAAAAAAAACTACTATTTTGGTTAAAAATACTACTATTTTGGTAAATAGCTACTATTTTGGTTAGTTTTTTACCAAAAAGTAATCAAAATAGTAGTTACTACTTTTTGGTAAAAAAACTAATATTTTGGTATAAAACTGGTACTTTTTGTTGTTTCTTTGGAGATTGTTAAAAAGCTCATAAAAACTCTTTTGGGTTTGTAAAAAAATAATTATTTTTCTTCTTTGTCGTTAGATTCCTTGCAAAAATGCTGCGACCTATCTCAGCTGTGGTACAGAGAATTCTACCTCGAGATGACAATGGGTAGAAAAGTCAACGTAAGTAACATTTATTATAGTCGAACGATTCCGAAACGTCAAGTGACAAAGATCGGAACTAATAACTCAATATTGATGGTAGCGCCTTCCTGTAAATGTCATAATTATATGTAACTTCAGTGTTTTCCAAAGTGTCACGAAAACTCAGGAACTACATTACAAGTGCTAGGAGTCTCAATTTTTTATGGAGGTTTCTTTTAGAACGTAGGTTTTAACGGCCGGTTCACACATGTCTCCGTTTTACTGTTCCTTTTATCGTGTACGTTTTTTTTCGTCGATGGCGTATGTAGTTGTATGAGCGACTTAACACATGACACAGTATTTTGTATACAGTAATACATACATCGACGAAAAAAAAACGTACACGATAAAACGGAGACATGTGTGAACCGGCCGTAAAACGCGATTTTGGAAAATTCAACCCCTCCAAAAACTGGTTCCACGCATACGAAGTCGCAGGCGGCCGCTAGTATTCTATAAAAAAATCGTTCATCAGTGAACCATATTATGCTAAAATGATGATGTAATTCTACTCCAAACAGAAATGCACAGTCCGTCATCAACACAACGAGGAATGCAACGACCTGGTCACCATGGAAAAGCGAATCCAATTTCCCATAGAGATGTCCATGCCGTGGATACTGACGGACCACATCCTGAGGAGCAAGGAGCCGGCTATGATGGAGTGAGTACACTTTGACATTAATTAACATTAGCCGAACGTCGGTGAGCCGGAGAAAAAAACTACCATTTTGGTAGAAAATAGTAGTTTTTTAACAGGAGCAAGAAGGATGGCGAGGCTAGCTTCAACATCAAAGTGCCTAGGTGGAACATCGGTGAGTCGGAGAAAAAAACTACCATAATGGTAGAAATAGTAGTTTTTTATTTTCTAGCTTCACAATGAAAATGTAGAGGCGGAACGTCGGTGAGTGGGAGAAAAACTACCATTTTGGTAGAAATAGTAATTTTAAGTCACAGTCCGTCACCAACATAACGAGGAGTGCAACGACCTGGTCACCATGGAAAAACGCATCCAGTTCCCCATAGAGATGTCCATGACGTGGATATTGACTGATCATATACTGAGGAGCAAGGAGCCGGGTATGATGGAGTTAGTATACCTTGTCAATATGAGGTTATTTATTTAAACCTATTTGGACATTGAACAGGGTACAAAATACGAACTTAATGCTATAAGGGCATTTATTATTTATTTGCTTTAAAATTTGCAAGTGAACTTACAGATTGATCCAAAACATTCACAATGCTAATTTCTTCTCCAGTTATTGACCTATACATTGACCCGAAGCAGTGGTAGGGTTAAAGTAATACTATGATGTGTAAACGCACTTTTTAAAAAGCCTACTTGCAAAAAATAAAAGCGATTTTTTATGAATTAACCTTTGGTCCGAGATGAAATGCCACGATGGCCCCGCCTGACACGAGTCTTTGCGTCGAGTATACCAGAGGTAAATAGAGGATTTGCCTTATACTACGCTCGTTACATAAGTGCCACTTGTGGTCTAAACTGAATAAATATTTATGATTTTGATTTTTGATTTTGTTAGTCAGACGAGTTGGCCAGGCTTGATGTTCTTATGCTTGTCCATTAGTCGCTTTTTACGACAGCCATATGAAGAACAGGAATAGTCCGTGCCTGATTATGGTGATGATAATGATTTGAAAACTCATGTTTTTTTCGTTTCAGATACGTTCTCTACCCCCTGGATCTATACAACGATTCAGCCCAGTACGCTCTCACCGTGTTCAAGAAACAGTTTCTGTACGATGAAGTGGAAGCAGAAGTCAACCTGTGCTTCGACCAGTTTGTGTACAAGCTGTCTGAACAAGTCTACGCGCATTATAAGCAACTGGCTGCCAGGTTAGTACTTGTCTAGAGCTGTCTAGCTGTGTTTGTGCTTATTTTAGCCTCCCAAAAAGCACTGTGCTCTAGAAACAGTTTCTGTACGATGAAGTGGAAGCCGAAGTCAAGTATTTGTGTCTGTATCTAGCATCTATCATTTCTGTTTTCTGTGCAACGAGATGGAACTTGGAAGCCGAAGCGAACCTGTGCTTTTAATGTATTCTAGTTGGTAACTGTGCAACGAGATGAGTAATAATCTGTGCTATGACCAGTTAGTAAATAAGTTGTCTGAGAAAATGTACACACACTACAAGCAATTCGCTGCCAGGTTAGTACTTGTCTAGGGCCTGTTTTCACCATCAAGCCCTAATTTTTAAGTGACCCCTATGTAAACAAAATTCCTGTTAATTGTTACCATAGGGTTCACTTAAAAATTAGGGATTGGTGGTGAAAATGGGCATAGATGTGTTATATGTGCTCTTCATCCAGGTGAACAAAGTGAAATAATCCAGAAATACACAGGTTTTTATACGACCTAGTAGAATCCAAACTCAACCTGTGTTTCGACCAGTTAAGTTTTTTACTTGTAGTTTGATTTCAGTACTTTTAAAGATCGAATAAGCCTTAAAATAGGTTATTTAATCATGTAAAAATTATATTTTACAAGCATATTCCCTACTAATCTTTATTGTTCGCACAGCATGGTGCTCGACAAACGCTACCGAGCCGAATGCGCGGCTCGCGGCGCTTCCACGAGCGCCGGCGCCGGCCGCTACGCCTCGCTGCTGCGGCAGAGGCACGTGGCTCTGCTGGGACGACACGTGGACCTGTGCGCCTTGGTAAGTGGACTGACGACCTCGTAAAGGTAGGCAAGAAGGCGCTGGATGCAGGCCGCTGATGTGATGATGATGATGATCAGTCGTTTTCGACCAATTCGCTACGCCTCGCTGCTGCGGCAGAGGCACGTGGCTTTGCTGCGACGACACGTGGATTTGGGCGCTTTGGTAAGTCGGATTCATTAAGTCCCTTTTTCATTAAACTAAACGTAAAAACACGCAGCAATAAAAAGTGCAAATGAGACAGCGCACATCGTGTTCTTCACTCACACGTCACACAGACGTAGCGACGACGAATTGGCAAGCTGAAGTGGTAATGGACAGGGCACATAGTACGCAGAACTGACGACCGATGAGGCAACAGGACTCTGGAATGAAGGCTACTTACTGGCAATCGCAGCGTGGGACGTTCACCCATAAAGTGGGCAGATGACCTCATAAAGGTAGCAAGAAGGCGCTGGATGCAGGCCGCTACCAACCGGGCGATGTGGAAATCATTGGGGGAGGCCTATGTTCAGCAGGGGACGTCCTGTGGCTGCAATGATGATGATCAGTCGTTTTCGACGAAGTCGCTACGCCTCGCTGCTGAGACAGAGGCACGTGGCTCTGCTGGGACGACACGTGGACCTATGCGCCTTGGTAAGTGGACTGCGTTTCAGCCAAATGACGTCCACTGCTGGACAAAGGCCTCCTCCAAGGTTTTCCACAATGAACGGTACTGCGCTGCCCGCATCCAGGCTCTTCCCCCTTTACCAGATCATCGGTCCACCTAGTAGGAGGCCTGCCCACGCTACGTCTTCCAGCCCGTGGTCGCCACTCAAGAACTTTTCTGCCCCAACGGCCATCGTCGCTACGAGCTATGTGCCCCGCCCACTGCCACTTGATTTTACCAATTCTGCGAGCTATGTCGGTCACTTTGGTTCTCCTGCGGATCTCCTCATTTCTCCTCAGATTCGATCACGCAGGGAAACTCCATCGCCCTTTGGGTGACCTTGAGCCTTCTTATGAGGCCCATAGTGGACTGACGACCTCATAAAGGTAGTGGAAGGCGCTGGATGCAGGCCGCTACCAACCGGGCGATGTGGTAATCATTGGGGGAGGCCTATGTTCAGCAGTGGACGTCCTGTGGCTGAAATGATGATGATGTTAAACTTGCTATGTATTAAAAATGTTCTTTGGTTTTTTAGGGAGTTGCCATGTATAAAAACTATGTATTTCTCACACTGAATGTTTGTCCGCAGGTCGCGCAGCGTATAAACGCGGATATGCACCGCGCTCTCGACACCGCGGTCGCGAAATTCGAAGCTGGCGACATCACCGGTGTAGTTGTAAGTAACAATGTAAAGTTAAGGAAAGGGTTATCAACTAAAATATAAGTTACCAACCAAACTTTGTTATTTATCTGTGCAGTTTTGTGTTAATATTATACCATAGAGCAGCGGTTCCCGAATGGTGGTCCGCGGAACCCTGGGGTTCCGTGGAAAGACCGCAAGGGTTCCGTAAAAAATATTATCCCACGTTTCGTGACCCACGTTGTTCGCTCGCACCGACTTGTTTACGCACAAGGGAGGGGCAGGGCGTGCGGGCGGAGTAGTACGGGGGTTCCGCTAGGAAAAGTATAATCAATTAGGGTTCCTTGGCAAAAAAAAATTGGGAAACCCTGCCATAGAGTCTATGGTGTCAATGGCATAGACTATTTACGAAATACAAAACTAGAACACCGGTGTTCTTACTAAAATTTAACATCACACCGATAACAATAACTAATATAAACGTTAACGGGACTATTGATAACTACAAATCACTGTAGTCTGGTCTGTGAGCACGTAGAATTTTGTCCAATGACCCCAAGCTACCCATCCTTATCGCTCGCGCGTAATTATGTTGCTGTCGCGCTCGCACACTCACTGCGGGCGCCCGTCGCACAGTCGCGACAGCAATATAATGACGCGCGAGCGATAAGGATGGGTAGCTTGGGGTCATTGGACAAAATTCTACGTGCTCACAGACCGGGCTTTAATATTGGTAAATTTTAACCTTGTCCACAGGAATTAGAAGGCTTGATCTCCGTAAACCGTCTGTGCCACAAGCTGCTCAGTCGCTACCTAACACTGGATGAATTTGAATCAATCCTTCGCGAATCGGACCACGGAGTATTGGCGCCGTACGGCCGGATCGCTTTCCACGTGTTCTGGGAGCTGAACTACGACTTCCTGCCGAATTATTGTTACAATGCTGCCACTGACAGGTATGTATGAGTATTCTTTGAGTACACATCTATACACACACACATGGTGAGAGTTTCGGGCCCCTTGACTCCTTATAATGTGAGTTTCGGGCCCCTTGACGCCTTATAATGTGAGCTTTGAGCACCTTGACTCTCTATAATGCGAGTTTCAGGCCCCTTGACATTTTTTCTTTTATGTGACAGGAGGCAAACGACTCCTTATAATGTGAGCTTTGAGCACCTTGACTCTCTATAATGCGAGTTTCGGGCCCCTTGACTCCTTATAATGTGAGTTTTGGGCCCCTTGACTCCTTATAATGTGAATTTTAGGCATTTTGACTCCTTATTATATGAGTTTCGGGCCCCTTGACTCCCTATAATGTCGGTTGGGCCCCTTTGAGTCCCTATAATATGATTTCTGAGACCCTTAATTCCTGTTATGTATCTTTTTAACCCCTTGTATATGATGTAAGTTTTAGGCCCCTTGAGTCCCTATAATATACCTTTGAGTCCCTCAAGTCCCTATAATGTGACTTTGGATCCCTTGTCTCCCTATAATGTAGGTTTTGGGCTACTTGACTTCCTATAATGTGATCTTTGAGCCCTTGACTACCCATAAAAGTGACATTTGGTCACTTAAGTAACAACTTTTACAAAATTAATAACTAAAAGTCTGAACATAATATTAATTACTTCTTGGTGTTGAGCTACACCGCGTTTATAAGGTGTACCTTAATTGTAATTGCCTCGCTCTATATTACATGGTTTCATATATCAATATGTGGATTACGTAGTGGGATGTGTTACCACATAAATAATACATAAGTCTAGTAGATAAGTTAATTTCTGTAACACATTTGTTTGTAATTCCTAAAATAAATAAATAAACTTTCGAGCTGTTTGAACCTTTTGAAGCACCAACAATAAAGTGATTATGATGATGATGATAGATTCGTTTGAGCAGTTTAATTCATTTGAGCCACTATGGGTGACTTTTGAGTCATATTGGATGACTTGAGTCACATTAGATGACTTTTGAGCCATTTTAGATTTTGATCAGTTTGTGAAGCTTGAACCACCTTGATAAACGAAAGCCAATAGCCATTTTGTGCCGTTTAAGCCACATAAGCCGTATTATGCAGGTTTGTCAAGTGCCGTGGTCTTCAGTTCGCGGCGGGTGTGCAACGGGAGCGACCTCAGCAAGCGGGCCACGCTTTGCTGTGGGGTTCGAAGCAGCTTACCCTGGCTTATTCGACTCTGAAGGAGCCTTGACCCACTTGTAGCATTGTTAGAGCCACTCGAGACACTTTAGGCGGCTCTTGAGCCGTTTAAGCCACATGGATGTCTTGAAAGCCGTTTGAGTCACTTAAAATACACAAACCTACTAAAGTGACATTTGTTTGAGCCAATCAAAGTGACTTTTGAGCCATTTTAAACACTATTTAAGCCATTTCTGCCACTTGAGCCACGCTGGTCCTTTTAAACCCTCCAAGCCACTATGTATTTTGTGCCGTTTAAGCCACATAAGCAACATAAGCCGTATTCTGCAGGTTCGTCAAGTGCCGCGGCCTACAATTCGCCGCAGGTGTTCAACGGGAACGACCACAGCAAGTCGGTCATGCGCTTCTATGGGGCTCCAGGCAACTCACGCTGGCTTATTCGACTCTGAAGGAGCCTTGACCCACTTGTAGCATTGTTAGAGCCACTCGAGACACTTTAGGCGGCTCTTGAGCCGTTTAAGCCACATGGATGTCTTGAAAGCTGTTTGAGTCACTTAAAATACACAAAGCTACAAAAGTGACATTTGTTTGAGCCATTTGAGCCAATAAAAGTGACTTTTGAGCCATTTTAGACGCTATTTGAGCCATTTCTGCCACTTGAGCCACCCTGGTCCTTTTAAACCCTCCAAGCCACTATCCATTTTGTGCTGTTTAAGCCACATTAGCCACTAAGCCGTGTGTCGCAGGTTCGTCAAGTGCCGTGGCCTTCAATTTGCCGCGGGTGTTCAACGGGAGCGGCCTCAGCAAGCGGGCCACGCTTTGCTGTGGGGTTCGAAGCAGCTTACCCTGGCTTATTCGGCACAATACGCGCAGTACAACGGTAAGTTTATAAGTATTTATTTTAATTTATTTAGACTGGCAGAGCTAGAATACATGCCTAAAATCTATTAAGATTATGAGCTCTTCTGAGCTTTCCAAACTTTTGTTCTAAAATCATTTATGTTTAATGCCCGTTTTCACCATCAATCCCTAATTTTTAAGTGACCCCTATTGTAACACATAACAGGAATTTTGTTTACATAGGAGTCACTTAAAATTTAGGGATTGATGGTAAAAACGGGCATCAGAGAAGCATTGGGACCAGAATTCATGCAGGCGAAACCGCATTTGTGAATAATATTTGAATGTTTCTATAGGTTTCGTAGGCGCAGTGCATCTACACGCGCTAGTCCGCCTGTTAGGATACCAGGGCGTGGCGATGGTGGTGTCTGAGCTTCTGGGCGTTGCACGCGGCTTGCTGCACGGGACATTGGCTCAGTTCACGCGGGCCTTACAGGCCGCCATGCCGCGGCATTGCAAGCTGCCGCGATACGACTATGGATCTAACGGTACGTAATATTAAGGCTGTGCCTTACATCTGGATCTAATGGTACGTGGTATTAGGGCTGCGATTTTTGTGTCCCTAATGTGTCACTTTGAGCCCCTAGAGTCCCTATAATGTGACTTTTGAGCCTCTAGTGTCTCTATAATACGACTTTTGAGCCCCTAGTGTCCCTTTAGTATGACTTTTGAGCCCCTTGATTTCCGATAATGTGGCTGAGCCTCTAGAGTCCCTATAATGTGACTTTTAAGCCCTTAGTGTCCCTATAATATGAAACTTTGAGTCCCTAGTGTCCCTATAATATGACTTGAGCCCCTGGTATCCCTATAATATGACTTGAGCCCCTGGTGTCCCTATAATACGACTTTTGAGCCCCCAGTGTCCCTATAATATGGATCTTTGAGCCCGTAGTGTCCATATAATATGACTTTTGAGCCCCTTGAGCCCCCAGTGACCAATAACCGTGACACTTAACCTTCACGGTTAAGTTTATCCGGGGGAAAGTTAAACTGTCATTGGACCCGCAACGAAATTATTCAAAACCATAGACAGAGAGAAATAAACAAGTGGACAATTAACTGCTTGTGCCCCTCTGACAAAAAGGCACCCGCTCAGCGTACATCAAGACCGCCAGGGCTTGTCTTGAAACTGATTTTCAGCGGGGGCCCTCTGTTGTCACGGCGTACCCCTGCTGACGGAGAAAACAAACATAAAGAAAGAAACAATTACAATAATAATAATAAATTATAGCCTGGCCAGGAACATAAAAATAAGGCATAGAGGCGCGTCAATTGCATTTGATAGTGCAACACTGAGTACAGTCGTACCTGTGTTAAATTAATAGTATCAGGATTCAGGATTACGGGCTAATTTGATATTTTCATAAATTAACGAAAAAATGTTATTAAAGGTAACCTGCTTTAAATAAATGAAATGAAACCATCAATCGAGTTAGTAGGATTTATTTTATTATTCATCAATAATCAAATTCAGAACTTGAATATTCAACTGCAATGTCTGCTCATGAACGCTTCAAACTCGGTACTTCTTTCCCAATTCCATAAAATTCAACACTTAGAAAGTGACAAAAAACTTTAAAATAGGTAGTTGAAACAAACTACAGCTAATTTTCATAGTGGACTGTACTATACGATAAACATGTCAGTCAATTTGACAACCTTTGTCGAAAACATTATTCAATGAAAATATTGTCCGAACCCTTAGTATTTCTCTTCGACAAATACTTTAACACGTTGTGAACCACTTTTCTTTCACGACTATAAAAAGATTTTAGCAATTTAATTCACAAAATCAATTGCGCACATTTAAAATAAAGTTTGTTTACACTTTGACAGCAATAGACTGACATGCAAGGTGACATGTCAATGAAGTTTTCAGTTACTGTTGCCATTAAAAGAAATTAGTACCATTAGTTTTCCGCAACATGGCGAGGGTTTTTATGTTCCTGGTCAGGCTATACAATACTCGTCGGCCGTTTGGTATAGTGGTTCGAAACGGACCACTATTACGGAGGTAGCGGGTTCGATTCCCGCACAGTACAAACATTTGTGTGCATGAACATATTTGTTTGTATTGGACTGGGTGTTTTCTATGTATAATAAGTATGTATTTACAAAAAAAAAGTATTTAAGTATGTTTGTATCCGTTGTCTAGTACCCATAGTACAAGCTTTGCTTAGTTTGGGACTAGAAGCGCAGTGTAAAATGTTTTTTTTAAAGAAAGATACATTTATTACAATGGACATTACACAAATACAGGCAATTACATAGACATGACAGTGGCACATAATAATGGAAGAAGAAAAATTAAAAACAAGAGTAAACCCATTCACCAACAAGATGCCCACTGCAACGGGACCCCACTCAGCATATGCCGTGGCCCACGGTGACGAAGGCCACGGCGCTGGTTTTCAATATGTATAAGTCCAAGGATATTTATTTTATTTTATTTATTTATGGCTGAATAAATGATAATCATGTGTTTGTCTATTCCAGGTGTGCTGGGCTACTATCACGCGCAGTTGACCGACATAGTGCAGTACCCAGACGCTCGCACGGAACTGTTCCACGCCTTCAGGGAGCTCGGGAACATCATACTGTTCTGCATGCTCATTGAACAGGTAAGTCCATGATATAATTATTTAGATCATTTAAATATGATAGAAAAAACATAAAATTGCTTTTAACTCCCTGTAGAGACTCAGTTGGCCGATAGTGTTTACAGAATGTCCAATTCCCAGAATGTCCCGTTCACAGATCGCAAAATATAATATCCAATCTTCCAATCTTTGTCTTGAAGCGCTGGTAGGACCCAAAATATAAGGAGTCATGTAAAGTGCCCCATAAGGGCTACCTTTTTTTATTTACTATATTTTGACGTTCATAAGTGCCACCAGTGGTGGTCTAAATTGAATAAAATATTCTTGATTTGATTTTGATCAGAATATTTAGAATGGAGTTCGCAAAATATCTAATCAGAATATCCAGATCAGTTTTGTGCAATTTGCAGAATGCACATTACGCAAATCCAATTCATCTGTCTATCTCTCTGTGTTTGGTGATGTCCAAAGTTTATTTCAAATCAAATCATTTAAGCAGTCCTTAGGTCCTTTATAAAGCGCTTATACATTTATATTTATTAATGGACAATTTGACACCTTTCTCCAATAATTCGTCATCACAACTTTTCTAAAAAGACACTTCATTCTGGTCTTAAAAACTTAATTAATTTTAAATTACCTGTAAATTACGATTTTTGGTCGCATTGTAATTGAAAAAAGTAGTTTAATTGACTTGACAAAATAGTGACGTCACTTGCTTGTAGTGCCATACAAAATCTATGGGAGAGTTTCGTTTTGACAGTTTTAAAAAGTACGTCAATTGATTGGTGGTGTCAACATGTCTATTCTTATTCTCCAGGCGCTGAGTCAAGAAGAAGTGACGGACCTCCTCCACGCGGCGCCATTCCAGAACATTCTGCCGCGTCCCTTCGCGGCGGAGGGCGAGAAACCCGAGGCCAAGCAGAAGCGGCTTGAGGCCAAGTACGCCGCGCTGCAGATCGTGCCCAATGTGGACAAGTTCGGGACCGCCAAGGTGAGTAAAAGTGACAGTAAAGTCAAGCTCTTATTCAGTACATAGGCCCTTTCCAGAGCGCTTATACACGTCCCAAATATAGCTTGCCCTACCACCACTTCGGGACAACATATGGGCTGTTGCTGAGAAGAAGTGGCGGAAGAAACTCAGTCACCTTTGACAGCTGCTTTTTTAGATACAGTAGGCGAGTGACATAACATCCTAGTGAGAAACCCGAGGGAGGTCTAGTATGCCGCATTGCAGATTGTGCCTTATGTGGACAATATAATTAATAGTATCAGGTGTTACTTTGCGGAAAACCATAATTAAAAATAGCTTAAAATTTTCTGAACTAAGCGGAAATTTTAAGCTAAGTAATTTTATCTTTCTAATATTTAATGTGGACAAGTTCGGGACCTCCAAGGTCAGTAAGGTTGCTCGGTATTTCTGTACGAGATCGAATCAGAAATGAGGAGATCAATAAACGAACTAAAGTACATAGCCCGACGAATTAGCAAATTATGCTAGACAAGTCACAATAATATTATAAAATATTAAGATTTAGACTCTGCCTTTATCCGAAACTTTGAATCGATTACGGTTATTTTTTTATGGTTACGGATATCCATAACATCCATGCTCAGTGTGCTTATTCTGTGTTTACGTTAGGTATGCTCGTATGAAGATTTTAGTTCTTGAAACTTCGCCGCTAGGGGCGCTGTACAATCTGTCATACATTTAATGTCATTTATTACGTATAGATGACCCACGCTGAACTGTCCCACCAAACTCAATGACAGGGGGGCGCTACCATCGTTCAACTATTATGGTTTCATTGGTTTCCAACATGGCAAAAATCGGAACCAGCGATCCGGTATTGACGGTGGCGCCTCGCTGTCAATGTCATGGACAGGACAGTTCAGTATTTTGGAACTATACTCGCTAGCGAGGACATCTTACGTAACCTCATGGTGAGCACACTGGACTAGAGTTCCGCTCCGTTTCAGTAGAAATAACTTGTCCATTATCCATTCCAGCAAAGCCAGCTAGCGCGCGAAGGCGAGCTGTTAACCCGCGAGCGCCTGTGCTGCGGCCTGTCTCTCTTCGCGGTGGTCTTGCGGCGCCTGCGCGCCTGCCTCGCCGCGCCGCAGTGGCCCGCCGCCGCCGCGCCGCCGCACCACGCGCCGCCACACGCGGATGATACGGCGGAGTTCCACAGGTGAGTGGACCCCCGAGGGAGGACCCCCACGTGGAATATTGGACCCCCGATACTGGACGCCTAGAAACTGGACCCCGGATATTGGACCCCCACGCGGGATACTGGACCCCCAGAAAGGACCCCCGGATATTGGACCCCCGAGGACCCCCTGATATTGGACCCCCATGTCATGGACCCCCTGACCTCCAAATACTGGACCCCCACGTCATGATGGCTCCCGATGAGACCCTAGTGGCCCCCGCCGCACTGGAATCCCGAGTGACCCCCTAGATTGTGACCCCCATCGCACTAGTGAGACCCCAAGTGGCCCCAACAGTGACCCCTGATATTGGACCCCCTAACCTTCATACTGGACCCCCAATATTGGACCCCCACCCGGGATACTGGTTTCCCAGTAAGTTGACCCTTGATATTGGACCCCCGGATACTGGACCCCTGTCACATATGGGTGAGCCCAAGTAGCCCCCTTGATAGTGGCCCTCTAGATCAGTGTCCTAGCTGTGTCCGCTCGCATCTGTGTTGCGGCCACCTAGATAGTGACGTCGCACTCTGGTGACACTCCCAGCTAGTGAATAGAGGTCAGTGTCCTATCTGTCTACCCGCGAGCGCCTGTGCTGCGGCTTGTCCCTGTTGGCGGTGGTCTTGCGGCGCCTGCGCGCCTGCCTCGCCGCGCCGCAGTGGCCCGCCGCCGCCGCGCCGCCGCATCATGTCCCGCCGCACGCTGATGATACAGCTGAGTTCCACAGGTGAGCGGACTGGACCCCCAATGTTGGACCCCCAGAAAGTTGACCCATTAATATTGGACCTGGACCCCCACGCGGAATACTGGACCCCCCTGATATTGGACCCCACGCGAGATATTGGACCCCCGGATACTGGACCCCAGATATTGGACCCCCACGTGGGATATTGGACCCCACGCGGGATATTGGACCCCACGCGGGATACCGGACCCCCATGGAGTGACCCCCCTAGATACTGGACCCTTATCTGTGATATTGGACCCCCACATACGACCCCTGACACTGGCCCCCCCATGGAGTGACCCCTCCCCCTAACAGTGACCCCCAGCGCACAGGTGAGCCCATAGTGACCCCCTAAAGTGGCCCCCGTCGCACTAGTAAGACTAGTGGCCCACGTCGCACGCTGGCGAGACCCAAGTGGCTCCTGTTGCACTAATATGTCACTAGGAGCTCAAGTAACCCCTATCAGTGGCCCCCACCGCACACTGGTGGTCCTGAGTGGCCTCCATGAGCCCTGAGTGACCCCTAGATAGTGACCCTTGTCGCACGCAGTTGAGTATCAGAATATCCCCCAACAGTGACCCCTGGAGCATAAGAGTAAGCCCTGAGTGACCCGTTAGATAGTGACTCCCGTCGCACTAGTCTAGTAATAACCCGCCCGGGTCTCTGCTGCGGCTTGTCTCTACGCTGTGGTCCTCAACGCATAGGTGAGCCCATAGTGACCTACTACAGTAGCCCGCGTCGCGGATAGTGGCTCTAGATCAGTGTCCTTTAGCTGCGCCTGTGCTGCGGCCTGTCTCTGTTCGCGGTGGTCTTGCGGCGACTGCGCGCCTGCCTCGCCGCGCCGCAGTGGCCCGCCGCCGCCGCGCCGCCGCACCATGCCCCGCCACACGCGGATGATACGGCGGAGTTTCACAGGTGAGTCCCGAGTGGCCCCCTGACTTGGCCCCCGCCCCCCGGGAATGGCCCCCAACTTGTACCTGGTGGCCCGCGTCGCACACTGGTGACACCGAAGTGGCCCCTGTTGCACTAATAAGCCACTAGGAGCTCAAGTAACCCCTATTAGTGGCCCCCATCGCACACTGGTGAGTCCTGAGTGGCCCCCATGAGCCCTGAGTGACCCCTACATAGTGACGCAGTTGAGTATCAGAATATCCCCCAACAGTGACACTCAGGGATTCCTCTTTTGCTCCGGAAGCAAAAGAGGAATCCCTGAGTGACACCCCATATAGTGACCGCCGGCGCTACAGGTGACACTCCCAGATAGTGACTCGAGGTCAGTGTATACTGATGAAGAAGCCTCCTTAACAATGGCCCTCTAGAACAGTGTCCTCTAGCTGTGTCTAGCTGCGTTTCTGCTGCGGCTTGTCCTTGTTCGCTGTGGTCTTCCTGCCTCGCCGCGCCGCAGTGGCCCGCCGCCGCCGCGCCGCCGCATCATGCCCCGCCACACGCTGATGATACGGCGGAGTTTCACAGGTGAGTCCCGAGTGGCTCCCTGACTTGGCCCCCGCCCCCCCCCGGGAATGGCCCCCGCTTTGGCCCCGGTACCCCGTAGATGTTGACCCCCATCGCACTAGTGCTACCCTAGTGAACCCCGGCATTGGCCGCAAATAGGTGAGCTCAAGTGACCCCCATCAGTGGCCCCCATCGCACACTGGTGGAGTCCCGAGTGGCCTCTATGAGCCCTGAGTGACCCCTAGATAGTGACCCCCGTCGCACCTGGATAGTGACTCGAGGTCAGTCTCCCAGTTGTAACCCGCCCGCCTGCGTCCTTGTCCGTGAGCCCTAGTAGGCTCCATGACAGTAGACACTAGTCGAGTGACCGCCCGCTCGAGTGATAGCTGTGTCGGACTCGCGTTTGACAGTGACTCCTGTCGCACTAGTGACACTACCGGATAGTGACACGAGGTCAGTGTATACTGATGACTCGAGATACTGGACCCCTGTCGCATATAGGTGAGCCCAAGTAGCCCTCTTGACAGTGGCTCTAGATCGCTAGTGGCTCGTCTCTGGCCGCGGTGGTCCCGCTTAGTTGCTGTGGACAAGGGTAAGTGAGCCCAAGTGACCACTGACTGCCTGCTAGTCTAGTGATAACCCGCCCGCGTCTCTGCTGCGGCCTGTCCCTGTTGGCGGTGGTCTTACGCCGACTGCGTGCCTGCCTCGCCGCGCCGCAGTGGCCCGCCGCACCACGCGCCGCCGCACGCTGATGATACAGCTGAGTTCCACAGGTGAGCGGACTGGACCCCCAATGTTGGACCCCCAGAAAGTTGACCCATTAATACTGGACCTGGACCCCCCTGATATTGGACCCCACGAAAATTGACCCCTCGGTATTGGACCCCTCCCCCCCCAACAGTGACCCCAGCTCACAGATAGCCCATCGTGACTCCCTACAGTGACCCCCCGTCGCACTAGTGAGACCCAAGTGGCCCCAACAGTGACCCCCAGCGCACAGATGAGCCCATAGTGACCCCCAGCTCACTGATGAGCCCATAGTGATCTAGATCAGTGACCTCCCTTGCTGTGTAAGTGACTTCTAACTTCCCAAGTGCATAGTAGTAAGCCCTGAGTGACCCCTTAGATAATGACTTCCGTCGCACACAGTTGATGCCGAGTAGCCTCTTGACAGTTGCAAGGGTGAGTATCCCGTTGGGATATTAGACCCCATGAGCCCCGATTGTCCCACCACGTCGACGACACCGCCGCGTTCCACAGGTGAGCAAATGGCCCCTCGGATAGGGACCCCTACATAATGGACCCCCTTGAAGAGTGGCTCAAAACACACCGACGACACTGTCGATTTCCACAGGTGATGGCGCACGACGAAATCTCAAATTATAACTCTCAAAGTAGGGTGTAGACATCCTCTAAAACGGATTTTACAAAACTACACCCCTAAAGGGGTGAACGGGGGTAAACTAAATACGCGTGCGAAGTCGCGGGCGGCCGCTAGTAACCAATTTAATTGACCTTTTGTTCGCAGATTGTGGTCGGCCCTGCAGTTCCTGTATTGCATCCCAGTTGGCGACACACAGTTTACTGTTGAGTAAGTAACTGTCTAAATAATATTTTATAAACCCTAAACCAAGAGCTAGGTTGTACAAGTTTTAGTTTGTATTGTTCGCAGATGAGTCGATTTAGCTACATCTCTGAGGATTTTGGATTTTTATGTACTTCATTAATAATAATCTTTATTAATAATTATAAAGAAAGTAAAGATTTTATTTTTGTATTTGTATTGAATAGGTTCCGAAACTACTGGACAGATTTGAAAATTCTTTCACCTTTAGGATTGTAATTTTTCCCTGAGAAACATATTCATATTTTTTTGTTAAACACCTATGTATATGTATGTTCATAATAAAATAAGGCACTGGAAGATCGCAACTTTATAACGAAAGAGCAACAAACTACCTGAAATTGGAGAGTATATTTTATACTAGCTTTTTTCCGCGGATTTGACATTGTCGATTTATTTGATAGAGACAGTTTGAGACCCAGGGAAGAAGTAAGAATAGTTCTTATTCTTGTTTTTGCGTCATAGGATTTAGACTTTGAGACGGACCGAAATCGCGGGGAAGCTACTGATAAACAAATTAAAAAAATCTTTTTAATAATGGTGACCATTGTTCATAGGGAGCTGTTCGGCGAAGGTCTCCACTGGGCCGGTTGCACCATCATCGCTCTATTAGGGCAGCAGAGGCGTTTCGAAGCGCTGGACTTCTGCTACCATATCCTGAGGGTGCAACGGGTGGATGGGAAGGATGAACTGGTCAAAGGCATCGTAAGTTACCGACTAGATCTTAGTGCAGTGGAATCCCGATTATCCGAATTAATTAAAACCAAGGGTAATCCGGATAATCGATTACAAAGTAAAATCGAACAATAATTAACTTTTCACTAATAGAAAATGGTTCATTTACATCATTTAGATTTTAGAACATTGGGTGAACCAATTTCTATTAACAATGAACCAAGACGACGTCTGTCTGTACCGTGTTCGGTGGCGGCGCCGAGCCGTATCACAGACGGCGCTGTGCCCTATTGATGGTTCCAGGCAGTGGCGGCGTAAGGCGTGGGCGACGTGGGCCACCGCCTACGGCCTCGCGGTACAAGGGGCCTCGCGCATCAAAAATTTTGAAAAAATGTATACAAGGTGGAGATGACAATATCACAATACGACAATAAATGCAAACATTGACTATTAAATATAAATTCTTGATAGCTAAACAATGTACCTAGTTAAAAATAAAAATATATTTTTTTCCAAACAAATTCAGTCATAATCAGACACAAAATTAAGCAACAACACGGTTTTAAGTGACGAACATTATTCTTTGGCGCAATATTCCTTTAAAAATAATCACTGAATCAAGAAATCAGAAACTGTCAATGAAAGACCATTGACCCGTTTTTTTTTATTATTTCATAAAATCCGTCTTCAGGTCGCCACAGAACAAGGCCTCGCGAAATCTGTCTTGCCCACATCAAATTTAGGTCTTGCCCCGCCACTGGTTCCAGGCCTTAAATCGTTAATTAAAGCCATGAAGATTGAGTCCGGATAATCGGATATCCGGATAATCGAGATTCTACTGTTCTTGTTTTTTGAGTGTATTTTATAAAGAGTTAAGATACTTTTTATTGCAAACCACAAAAGGAAGGCAACGTCGAGCCAGAAACGAAACGTTACAATTTAGGCGCTTTTATCGCTAGCCACAATCTCTTCCAGATAATCCAGGGATAGGACAATTTAACAAAAACATTTTTGTCTATGTTTTTAAGATTCTTTTTGACTGATAGTTTTGAATAATCTATTTATCGACGACGTTCTGATTAATAGATAGTACCGAAGTAATATTGAATATTAAGGTACGATCCGTGGTACGATAGTCCTTACACTTTCGATAATACAGTCTAAATTGTGCAGTCTCTTTTGTGTCTATTTCTTTACTTTCTTGGTTTGTGTTGTGTACAATAAAGTTGAATGTTTATTTATTTATTTATTTGTGTGTGTTTTGAGACGTGAAACGTCAGCGAGACTAGATTTCTTTAGATTTGTATGCTTTGTCACGTCATAATATGTCAATGTCACCCCTCCCGTGCCGCTCCCACATCTCAAACACTGACTCAGATAAGCGCTAACCTATAATCTATCTATTTTCATCCCTACAGCCCCTCAAAAGGATGGTGGACCGCATCCGTCGTTTCCAAGTGCTAAACTCGCAGATATTCAGCGTGCTAGCGAGACACATATCGGCGGACGACGAGCGGGCGGGCGTCGAACACGTGAGGTGCTTCCCGCCACCTTCCGCCCCTCAACATCATATGAATTAGGGGGGTGAGTATAGATTTTGGGGTGAAAATTCAAATATACACAGACATAAAGATAGATATTCAAAAAAATGCACAAAAGCTTACAATATTATAACTATAAATTGGGAGGAAAATCAGTAGACAATTGTAGACAATTAAAATATTATTAAATGCTTCCCGCCGCCCTCCGCCCCTCAACATCATATGAATTAGGGGGGACGAAGTGAGTATAGTTAGGGGCAGGAATGTTATGGATATCCGCAACCGTAACCGAAACTTTCGGATATCCGAAATAAAAAAACATCCATAACCATAACCGATTCAAAGGTTTCGGATAGTTTCGGATGTAGGCAGGTTAGGAATTGCATTTTGAAGTACATTAGTTTTTTTCCCATAAGATAAAAGCTTTTTTGTGAGACCAAAAGATGGTGACAGATGCCAAAGAAATCTCTTCTGTACCCATTCTATTCGTAATTCATGAACTGTGTTGGACAACTATTGAAATTTGCATTCTATACTTAGCACAGATATCCGTAACCGTAACCGAAGCTTTCGGATATCCGAAACAAAAAAATATCCGTAACCGAAACCGGTATAATATTATTCCAATATCCGTAACCGTTTCCGCTACCGAAACTACATATCCATAACATCCCTATAGGGGGTTGAACAATATACGATGACGATGTAGAATGGGACGAAAATCCAAATATAGACAACTATAGAGATGAACTCATGAAAAATTAATATATATTGTCTAGTTTATCAAACACGTGCGGTGCTTCCCACCCCCTTCTGCCCCTCAACATCTTATGAATTAGGGGATGAAGTGAGTATTGATTTTGGTATGAATAGAGAAAGAACAAAACATTAGGTTGAAATTCAAACAAAATTTTAGAAATTAATGCGTAAAAATTCAAATACTAATGTTATGTTTTACCTTATGAATTGGGATAAAAAATAGAGTATAGACAACTGTAGAGAGAGACTAGTTCGAAAACACGCCACTCTTCTCTTCGCCTCAACACAATATACACAGAAATAAAGATAGATACTCAAAAAAATGCGCAAAAACTTACAATGTTATAACTATAAATTGGGATGAAAATCAATAGACAATTGTAGTATGCCCCTCAACATCACATGAACTAGGGGGATGTCTGGTGAGTATAGTTAGGGGGTTGAAAGAGAGTAAAATGTTATGAATTATTATTATTCAGAACTGTAGCGATAATATTAAGGCTGGTTTTAGAGTCACGCTGACAGTCAGCGCTGACAGCCGAAATGTATGAAGCGTCGGCGCCGAGCGATTAGCGTCACTCAGGAACGTTCCCTTCAATTACATACATATAGATCAGTCAGCGCCGACGGTCAGCGAACGGTCAACGCGATTCTAAAACCAGCCTAAATTTTTTCTACTCCGCGCCTCAGCACTACCTATATGAATTAGGGGAGTATAGATATTGGAGTAAAAATTCATATTATTTAAAAAATTCAAGCTATTCAGACGACTATAAAATGTGCGATAGCGATTCAGACAAATAAATGATGAACGTGGGATAACAAAAAGGGGATGAGTATAGAAAAGGGGATGAAAACTGATAATTAAATGACTTTTCAGTGCTCTGACAAAGGAAGTATCTGTTTTCAAAAATATTTTGTGCTATGAAATTGTAATTAGGTTAAATATAGCAATAAGTATTATATTGATGCAATATTTGGATAGTTACTATGAATGTAATATCAATTATCCTGCTTTCGCCTCCGAGATTTATTTTACCATGTAGTAGTACCCCTGTACGACAACCCAATCCGCACACAATATTCAGCGTAGTAGTATTAAAAAACAAAAGAGCGGGCAACCCCACCCCTACCACGNAATATAATGAGACCGCTCGGACACCGAGACCACAGCGAGGTAGGGGTGGGGTTGCCCGCTCTTTTGTTTTTTAATACTACTACGCTGAATATTGTGTGCGGATTGGGTTGTCGTACAGGGGTACTACTACATGGTAAAATAAATCTCTTCGGCGAAAACAGGATAATTTAGATCGAACTTCACTTGGTAAGTTCGTTTGATCATTCAATAAAGGTTCCTTGTCAGGACTATGGAACCCTAATAATACCTAGAAAGCTACTCAAAATTAAGTTACAATGTTTTTTTTTATTTGTAATAGGCATTTTGATACTTTTGTAACTTGTCAGAAAACGAGTAGAAGTAGGAAGAGTATGAGGAATTATTATGAAATAAATGAAAATAAACAAGTAGGGCCTGTAATTTAAAGATCATGAAGTCTCTAGTTATAGTAGAATGATACTATCGTATGATTCTGTTTATGGTAATATGGACTAAAATTGATACTTATAATGTAAATTCTACTTGTTATGCTTTAAAAAATTATACACTCCATATACATTTTAGGCTAAGTTTCTGTAAAGGTGGTCACTGAAAGTATTTATTCATGTGTAATGTAATCCTATGTAACGTGTGGAATAGCAATAAAGAATTTGAATTAATATCAGCGGTTGATGTTTGACCGCAAATAACAAAATATCGAAGTAAAATTATTTTTTAATAACCATTATACTACCTAATACATGCTACATACATGAGGTAGTTTCTCAATCCTTGGTTATTATTAATATTAGAATTTCTGGTTAATTTTAATAGTCTTCATTTTACATATAAATAACTTGAAAAAGTAGAACTGCCTAGGTCGGGAGTCAAACCACATACCTTTTGTTTGCCGGGCGACTACATTTTGAATCGTTACATTACAAGCGAATACACTTAGTCAGTGGTCACCTTATTGTATAAGATTAATAATGAGATCGTACTTGTATTATTATAATAATATGCCAAGTAGAGTAAGATTGTATGGGATTATGTATGAAATGTGTAGTTGCTTTTTATAATAAAAATCTTTTATTCGATTATGATTTTTTTATTTATTTTTTCTCCTTTTACTATTTTTTTTTTCACTTAAGTAAATACCAAGTTTGTACTAGTCCTAGTACACTCAAGAACGGCTGAATTGATTTGGCTGATTTTGGTTTTGAAATTTTTGTCGTAGTCCAGGGTTTTAAATGCTGAGAAAAAGGTTCGTTGAAAAGAAAATTAATAAGGCGGTACGTAGTTCTCCTGGTCAGCAAGTATTACAATCTATACTAATAAATAAATATAGGAGGACTTTGCAAACAGTTGCTAAACTTTTAGGAGCGACTTTTAGAATCAGTAACTTCATCGGGTAAGGTTTTTTAATTATTTTTTTTTCGAAAATTACGTTAAAAAATAATTACGATAAAGTTATAGAGCTTATTAAAACAATGCCAACTGTTTGCAATTTCACCCTGTATAAAATAATAATTATAAGTTGAATAAACTTACCTTTCTCTTCTTCTCCGAGGGTATGGCCTGCAGCAGCATAACTCCTCACAATAACTAACACTACACCAAACCACGGTACACTACACTATAACCCGGTTTTTATTGGCGGTCAAGCTGTAGATCCTGGCTACACAGGAGTTGCAGCGGTGGGAACGAGAGGTGGGAATAGTCCCTTTATAACGAGTCGAGTTAACTGCGCATCTGGCGGCCGTGACGTCACATCGCCGCTCTGGTACGGACGGGGCGACATCGCTCGCACGTGAGAGTACGTGAGTGCGAGGAAGAGTCGTATTCCAGCGAGGTACGAAGTTTTTCGAACGGGTTACGGGACTATTCCCACCTCTCGTTCCCACCGCTGCAACTCCTGTGTAGCCAGGATCTACAGCTTGACCGCCAATAACCCAACCAGTGAAGGTCAAGTTCTCGATCGGGTTGTACATTATTACACACTGCACTGCACATTTATCAGCACCGATGTGCTCAGTCCGACGGTTAGACAATGACTGACTCGATACGGAGTGCCTAAGCAAAGTGGCATGGTGGGGGTACCACGTGGTTGGTTTCATCGTTTAATTACTTTTAATTTATAGAAATGAGTATTTAGTAAAGAATAATCATATTTTTATTTATTATGTTTTTTTTTTAATACAATTACCTAGTTTAAAAAAAATACAATAAAAAAGATACCATGGCTTCCAGAACTAAAGTAAAAATCTTAACACAAAAAATATTTTTAAGACGTTGCAAGAAGTCACTCACTGGTACTTTGCAAATACTGATTTATTCTTTTTTTTTAATATAGATATATTCTTATTAGTGCGTATTTAAATTTATTTATTCTACTAATATCACTTACAAGAGCAACAGGGTTTCTTCATACCTTTTACGAGAAAATAAAAACGAATATTTCAGTTTTCGCATAATTTTTTTATTAAGTCTTACAAGTATGTTATCTAGCCTAAGAAGTAACCTTCACAGGTGAAATAATATGTAATAATATATTACATCGCCGGACTATGTGGTAAACGATATAAATCTACGAGCGCGAAATACATAAGTAAAACGACACTTCAAACACTCTGTAGGGTAAACCAGAGAGTGATTGCCCACTGGTAGTGATTGCCCGCTTTAAGAATAATATTGTCAGGTGCTGACTTTGAATCACTCTAGTTAGATTTGAATTTACTAAGTAGATGGCTCCGAGATCAATGTACATACATTAGATTTAAAATTTACAATAGGAAACACTAAAAAAAAACAGTTATGGCGGATTTCGTCAAGACGGGTGAAAATGTTACTCAAACTGGTAAAGACTTTAACAATTTTACTAAGGAATTACTTGCTTAGAGGTTAAATATTTTTTGCAAGTTACTTAATATTCAACTAATGGTGTATAGTCATGATGAAATTATAAGTGTTTTCTCCATTATCAATGAAAATAACTGATAAAATTTTATTTCTAACGGTCATTTTAACGGTGGGTAATCACTGCACGTAAATCTGTATATTTTTAGTTATTGCCCACCATCATTTCAGTTATTGCCATATGTTAATGTATAGTTATTACCCAGGGCAATTATTATTAGAGTGTTGCCACCATGCAGTAGCAGTGTTTAAGTTGCTCATTGCTAGACTTGTTTTGCAAATTATAGGCATAAATATTGAAATGGCTTTTAATGTTTCATTTTCAGTATGCCAAAGACTCCAAAAGTTCAATATAGCATAGAACATTTGCAAAAAGCGATCGAAGCTGTACAAGACGTATCCAACAATTTATCTACAAGATAAATTGCAGAAAAATATGGTTTGGCTTGAAAAAATTGATAAAAATTCAAACGCAAATACAAAAAATGAAAATCCTACGTTAAATCTACTAGTGAAAATGTTAATTGTAAGGAAATAGATACAACTTTAGGGAAGAATAACCAACAGCTAATTGAACATTCTGAGCAACCACTTGAACTGATATCAAAGAAGATAAAAAATAAATACATATAAAATTTACATATAAAATTCAGATTTTTGCGTCATCTATGTTTTGAAGTAGATGATTCTGTCTCTACCGATTCTGACTCATCAACATCAGCTCAAGAAATATTTGATAATTATTATGTTAATAAGGCCAAACGTAATTTATTTTGAAATTTTGAAGACTGTACTACTAGAATATAAGTTTGATGTATTGTTTTGCTTATTTAAAGCCTATTTTCTCATTTTAAAATTGATTATTTTGTTTTAAGATACTGGGCAATTACTGTGCTTTGATGTGGGCAATTAGTGTAAGTAATGGGCAATGACTGTACTTTTTGGAGGATTTTAAATTTATTTCAATATTTTCTAAGTTACGTAAGTTTTAACTAAAAACTGTTAATATTCTGTTTAACAGTTTATTGAGTTATAAGAAAAAAGTCATAAATGCTCGATAATTAAAATACTTTCTTTAATTTTTCATCTCAATGTGTTTGAAATCTTTAAGTGGGCAATAGCTATACGGTTTACCCTATATAACTTTTTTTCAATCCTAAATCACAGTATTTTTATACTGTACAGATTTAAAAGTCATATACATGAGACCCGTTTCACAAAACGATACTGAAGTACGAATCTTAATTCAAGAATTGATTTATTTGTGACTCAATTCTTAAAATTTAAATCCATGCTTGAGTCGTTTTAAAATACGGGCTTATTTGTGATAAAGTTTTAATAAAGTAGAAAAAATGTACTGCTTTGTTCCGCTACACACTTACAAATTAATAAGAAGGTGAGTGAAGGTGTATTCACATTAATGAGGCACGAACCAGCTCTGCTCACAATGTCAGGCCTCATATGATTGTGAATATACCTTTAAATCGATGTAGAATAAGACTCATTGATAGGTGATTTGTTGAGATCAAACATTCAAAAAGATAGAAAATAAAAATGTTTATTTAGTACCAAGTTAAAATCACTAAATTCTGATCATTCTTTTCTAATTTTAGAAGCGACATGATTTTACTATTGCTACTAAAATCCATCAGAAGTAGTTTTAGTAGTGTTGTCGAATTATTTATTATTTCAAATTTTTGTTCACCAGTTTGGCGAGTAAATTCCATGGGGGCGCCAACTCTTTAGTACTTTTATATTTCCGTATAAAATGATTTCGTAAATTTACAATTTGGCTCAACCTATCAATGCTCTTGTGCAAATTAAATTGTACTACTTATTTTGCAAACAAAGACTATTTCGCCGGCAAAATACGCCACAGCCTTCCACCAACTCGATATACAAAGAACTTAAGTTGAAATGCATACCCGTCCCTACTTAATAATAAATATAAACATTTCGTATTTTTACTTCATTTATTTAATCGCCGTAAAAAGCTGTCATACTATTTCGTTTAAAAAACATATGCACCACATTTATAAATATTTATTAATCTTATCTTACAAGCAGTTTTTTAAAGACAACAAACGGGTTAAATAAAAAAGGGAACTAAATACAGTTTGTGTATATTTTTTTACAAATTGTTGTCTTTGAAAAAGATTTAATCTGCAAACTTACATTTAAACTTACAGATCTAAACGTAGCGAATATCTAAAAGACCAGCTCAGAAAAAATAAAAAACGCTGGTCCTTTAAAAGTTACTACATCTGATTAAAAATATTTTTATTCAATCTACAATACAACTAAGAAAACTGAAAGATTGGTTCAAAGAGTGCTTCTTGAATATCAATATGCGACAACTGGGCAATTTATTCTTTATTATGGGCTGAAAAAACCAAGGTCATCGTAGATTTTCTATAGCATTTTATTTTTTTAGAGTACTCATTGATTTTAAAGTAACAATATTTTGAGTTTATGGTTGATTGAAAACTATTCTGGTTTTCAAGCTAAAACAAACGAATGCGAAATTAGAAATATGCCTTAGAATTGATTAATTATACTCGTATTATAAATTACCCAATTGTTTAATTCATAATATGGTGTCCAATATAAGAATTAATCATAAGAAGTATTGCAACATTGCTTTGTATATTGCATATTGATAAATAAGATGGACAAAAACGAAAATTTTTGCTATTGGAATAGACAATGTATATTTTTATAATCGCTGCGAATACTACTTTTGTACTTCCATCCAAATATGTATGATTTGAATTTGTGAATGTATTCGAAACACGATAACAACCTTAATAATATACATAAATAAACAACCTTACAAACAAAAAAGTGAAAAAATATATTACAAAAAAGTGTTAAAGTACAGATTAAAATTACTTATTGCAACAGTTTGATGTCGCAGACATCATTTTATTAATCCTATGTATTTTTTTATTTTGTTTTTATTTTCAGTCGTTTCTGGCATACATATAGTTGCAAAGCACACACGACAAATATAACACTGCGTTTGGTAACATATTATATTGAAAAATATACTTTTAAAACATTATGCAAAGTTACATTTGCCGAAAAATATTTATGCCAAAAGTTTGTAAACGTATACTAATTCTTGTAGTCGGGCAAGACATAATGCAAAACACACAATTCCATTCTAATATTTATGTATGTTTTTAATATTTATATGTCATTGTTGAGTGCTTGGTAGTAATTTAATCAAGGTGACAAGATCGCATAATTTTTATGTGAATTTAGAAAGTGCAAACATTATGTCAAACTGTTTTTGACATAATGATACTTGGCATGGGACTTTTCTTCAACATGATGACATAATTATAATTTTAAAACATACATAAATATGGGTAAACATAAAAAAATCTATTCAGCCACTAATCAAAAATGGAATATTTTTGTTTATCACATTTTTTTCAAAATTTTAAGGTGACGTAAGACAAAATGATACATACAATATTTTTATTCGATATATTATCATTTTAACTGTACATTTCGCTGACAAATAAGGCGCTATAAGACAGAACACATTACAAATATTGGTCTCAAAACGAACTATGCAAGATATGTTTATATGTAAAGTAACAATTCCGAATCACAAAGAATACCAACATATTTGTAGAATAAAGGTGGTGACATAATTAAATAACCATCAAATATGTGTTTTTATAAATCTAATTAACTCACAAATCTCAGAATACATTTTTTTTATTTTCAAAACGTGTTGATTTTGTTAAAAAAATATCGTATAATTTGTTTAAAATTTGATATCAGTATACATAATACATGGTGCAAAAACTTTTTTAATTTCGCATAATTTTTTGAGGTTTTACATAATTTTGTGACCAAAAAAGCTGCTCGGAAGTAGATTGATGAATTGGATCAAATAATTGCGTGATACATCTTGCGTTACCACCTTAGCGTTTGTGTCGGGTGTCACTGTTCGTAGTTCTTCGGTTTTCGGTCCATATCGTCGTCAGAGCGGTTCATTGGGTGATCTGTAATTGAGAAATGAACATTGTTGTATTATTATAGGCTGATGATGATAATAATGAAGTATCCAGTAAGTCAAAGTCAAAGTCAAAATTTCTTTATTTGTTTGGACTAATAAATAGTCATTTTGCTCTTAAGGAGCCTCTACATGTCTCATAATCTTTTTACCCTACCAGCGCTTCGAGACCAACATTTGGCAAGTGCTGAGAAGAAGCGCCGCAACAAACTATTATAAGTATTGATGATTGAAAATGAGACTGACAAAGTTGAGGTGACCGAGTTTCTTCCGCCACTTCTTCTCAACACCAGCCCATATGTTGTCCCAAAGTGGTGGTAGGGCAAGCTATATTTGGGACGTGTATAAGTGCCTTGGAAAGGGCCTATGTACTGAATAAAGTATTTGAATAAGTTTTGTCATTTGTGCTTCGCTCCTATTGGCTGTAGGGTGATGTTTACGCCTATAGCCTTCCACGATAAATGGAGTATCGACTATCGCATACATTTTGCTAAGTTCCGGCGTTTTCAGTGAAGGGATTCTTCGAAACAACAACTGTCACATTTTGCAACTCCAGGCGGTTGTAGTTCCTGGAATTAACGCGTTCAACCAAACAAACAAAGTCTTCGGTTTTAAAGATTTTATTCTGTGTACCCTCTCTCTGATGTTTTGCTGTGCCCTTGCAGGGCGTCACATGTATACCTACCTCTATTTTTGCAACAACATATAAATTGTAATGTGACATGCAATAAACGTTTTGAATTTGAATTTGAACAAACCTGGGTGTTGCGGCATCTTGGGAACCAGCACGACGTTGCCGTCAGCCGCTTGCTGCAGCGAGAACTGCTGCGAGGACAGTGGACGGCCTTCAGGGTCGCGCAAGTTCTGGAGACAATAATAATAAGTGAGTCAGCCGTCAATACCGGAGAAATTGTCTCCAAGGCTTAATAAAATGTTATCAATCCGATCTCATAACTTCAGATCATCGGGAGTGCTGTTTTTTGTCAACGATACTCTTTTATGAGGCTTAATGTCAAAGCAGACTTAACAACTTGGAAAGGAATCAACACTATCGCCTGAAATACGTGACTAGACTGCTATACTGACCTCCCCCCCTCCTAGCTAGATTGTCCACCCTATGATATATGATCAATATGATCATCCCCTTGAACTAGACTGTCCCTCCTTTTGAGTTAGACGTTCCCCCTTTGAGCTAGACTTTCCCCCTTTGAGCTAGACTTTCCCCCTTTGAGCTAGATTGTCCCCTCCCTTCTTTAGCTAGATTGTCCCCATATCTCACCTGGAAAACATGCCGGTACAGCGCTGCGAATCGCTCCTTCACGCGCTGCCTTTCAGCGGTCAGCTGGTGGTGGTCACGCTGCGTGCGCTGCTTGCGGTCGCGGACTGTGCGCACTTCGTCTGCGAGAGAGGTGATCTGGTCGAGTTTGCGCTTGCGGCAGTTTTGGGCAGCCACCTGGGAAAAATAGATGATTGAGCCAGGGAATTGGTAGATGACACAAGTGAAAAGAACACTTGAATCTACCTTTGAACATCGAATAGGAAAATCTTGAAAACATGAGTAGTTGAGCTAGAAATATAGAATTGCTGTACAAAATATCAACTTGCATGTCATATTAAGCATTAAAACCAAAGGCTCGGTATTGTGCTACTTAGGTATTAACTTGTAAACAAAATAAAAAAATAAATTATAGAGGAAATATTTGCATTTTTGTATGATTTTAACAGATAAACTCAAAAACTACAGGACCTATTTGAAAAATTATTTCAATATAAGAATTTTTTTATTGCATTTTTTTAATTAAAGATAATTTTTAAAACTTTTGTTAAATATCTAAAGATTAAAGATATCTATCTACCCGCGCATAACTAATAAAAAATAATTAAAATTTTTACTCTTCAAATCTCACCTTATTCTTGCCTCGCCTCCTTATGTCCCTTATAAGGGACAGCTGGGCCTCGCTCAGATCGTGCTTCGAGAGACGCTCGTTGAACTCATCCATCGGCAAATTGATGATATCGTGCACCTCCAGCGGTATGCCTGCGTGCAGAAGGGAGGCTTTACACTGGTTTTTCTTTACTTGTACTATATATAGGACAAACGTATACAGTTTAGAGGGTAGCCGGACTTTTGTTCACCAGTTGGCGCCTTTGCCGAGTTTTTCGGTGGAGGCGCCAATTGGTAAATAAGTGGCTAATGTTGGTCTTATGCCCGTTTTCACCATCAATCCCTATATAAACTAAATTCCTGTTAATTGATACCATAGGGGTCACTTAAAAATTAGGGATTGATGGTGAAAACGGGCATTAATTTAGTAAATGACATTTATTTCAATTAGCGGACTTGTGAATTACTTGTTCACGAGTTGGCGCCCTTATCGAGTTTGGGAATGTCATTCGATAGAGGCGCCAATTGGTGATTGAAAATAACTATTAGACTTCCAAGTAAGATAAAAATATTTGTATAAAGTGTGTTATCATACATCTGTTTAGTCCATAAATGTTATTACATTTTTGAGAATGAAATCCATAAATTTTTGGACATTCGTCAACAATTTTTACCCACATTTATATAAATAAATTGATTTGATTTGAACAATTGTAAGAAGTGTGAACTCACCCAAAGCCTTAGCCCGTTTCTCGTCTCGGGTGAGGTGTCCGCTGGCGGCCGACGAACCTCCGTCCGACATGCTGCCATCGGTCAGGCGGCGGACTGGACGACAAAAACACACGTTAATGACATACACAATAATACACATAAGCTCGCTTTTAATTTCAAAGAAAGAAGAAATGTTTATTCATTATCATCGACAATACACTAACCCCCTTACTAATAAAAAGTTACACAGTTGTTGATCAATGTTTTAAAATGACATTTCCATACTAAACGTCACTTTAAAACACTGTGTTCAACGAGCGTGTAAGTTTTATTCATCATCATCATTTCAGCCATAGGACGTCCACTGCTGAACATAGGCCTCCCCCAATGCTTTCCATGTTGATCGATTGGCAGCGGTCTGCGTCCAGCGCTTCCCTGCTACCTTTACGATGTCGTCGGTCCACCTTGTAGGTGGACGTCCCACGCTGCGTTTTCCGGTACGCGGCCTCCATTCCAGAACCTTTCTGCCCAATCGGCCGTCAGTTCTGCGTACTATGTGCCCTAAGTTTTATTAGTAAGGGGGTAATTTGCTAACAATCGCGTAGATTTCGCGCGTCTCAAATAAGTTTGGGAACCAATGCCCTACAGCCAATGGGGGTGGAGCAGTAATGAAAAATGTTGCAAACACGGGAAATATTATTCAAACTATTTTCACGCGTACGAAGTCGCGGGCACAGCTAGTTATTAATATTGTTTCTCACCTCTCTTGTCCCTAGTGTGCGCGGGCCGAGCCTGATGCGGCGCGGGCGGCGCGCTGTAGGTGTGGTTGTGGCGCACGCGCTCCGCACCGTACGGGAAGCGAGCTGGGCTGGCTAGACCGTTCTGGAACAAACGTGTTCTTATTAATACTGTTTAAGGTTTTTTACTGCTGTTTTCCTTAAATATTTGTCAATTTGTAAGTACTATTTTAATTGTCAATCAAATAACTTATAAAAAATTCTAAAATTTCGTCAGAGTAAGCCAGTCAGTTACCAGTTGGCGCCACTATCGAGTAAAGTCTGGTCACTCGCCAATGGTGCCAACTGGTGAACACAAGCGGTCGGACTGCCGCATTTGTTCAACAGTTTTAGTGACTCCAGACCATGTCACTCACTCATTCGAGAGATTATCTATAGTAGCTGTACCGCTTATCAAGCAAATAAATGGATTTTGATTTTGATAGCGCGTGACTGGAATGCGGCGAATTAGTAATAGTTCACAATAATAATTGATTTATTTATAAAAAAAAAACTTAGTGTTGTTGGCGCCACTGTCGAATTAGGCCCTGTCACTCAAAAATGGCATCAACTGTTGCGCCCTGAAATGGTCAACATATAAACTTATTACGCACCAGTTGGCGCCATTATCGAGTAAAGTTTACGTCAGTGACACATTGTTCAAACTCTGAGACATGTAAAGGGCCTACATAGGACGAGTTGGCGCCGCTGTCGAGTAAGGACTTATCACTCGATAGTGGCGCCAACTGGTGAACCCTTGTTTAAAGATATTTACCTGCAGTAGCGCGTGGCTGGAATGCGGCGCGTTGAGGTCCAGCGCGGGCTGTAGCGCCACCGGCGGCGCTATTTGAGCACCAGTTGTCGCCACTATCGAGTAAGGTCCTCACTCGCTAGTAGCGTCAACAGCCCTCGCATTTAATCTCACCAGTTGGCGCCATTAGCGAGACGTGGCTTTAATAGTGGCGCCAACTGGTGATTACTAATTCTAGCTCTTATGTTACCTGCAGTAGTAAGGTCGTCACTCGCCAGTTGCCGCCACTGTCTTAGCTGATAGAACCTTATTCGTCAGTGGCGCCAACTGATAAACCTTCGTTAAAAGATATTTACCTGCAGTAGCGCGTGGCTCGAGTGTGGCGCGTTGAGGTCTAGCGCGGGTTGTAGCGCCACCGGCGGCGCTATTTGTGCGCGCGCGCCGAACTCTACGCCTGTAGTGGAACAAATAATTAAAAATACTAAAGGAATCGCACATAATTAATTCGTCTTTACATCTGAGTATGGGTATATTAACTATCCAAGTTTTTAAGGAGAGCATTTTTTGCCCTGTTTTTGTTATTAGGAATTAAAAAAAATCTTGCAAACGGTTTTTTTAAAGAATCCCGTTAACTCCTCGTGGTAAGCTAAATATGCTTGAGTTACGAGTGGGCTCACCACAATAGTCGAGGGGCGGCGGGGTTCAAACCCGTGTTCCTCGGAAGTCGAGTCAGCCAGTTCGACCTCTATACCATTTGCTATCGAGGTTTCAAAAGTTTTGACAGTTCATATAAAGGACGCCAATTGATTGGTGACAAATCATATAAAACAAAGTCGCTTTCCGCTGTCTGTCCCTATGTAATATGCTTAGATCTTTAGAGCTACGCAACGGATTTTGATGCGTTTCTTTTAATAGATAGAGTGACTCAAGAGGCAGGTTCATAGGTATAAAACATGCATATTATAGAAGAGAAAAGCCGGGAAATTCCATTGCAACCGCATGAAGCCGGGGCGCGGCGGGCCGCTCTATAAAATAAAGATTTTTAAACAGAACATAACATTATTATAATGTTCAAATCTTACCATTATGCACGTGCATGTTGTCGTGGTGGTAGGCCTGCTCGGGGCACTCGTACTTGACGACCGGCGCCGGCCGCGGCTCCAGCTGCGGCGTCTGCTCCTGGGAGGGACACAGTTGGCTTAATACAAGACTTAATCCGGCTCGAAGGACCATGTCCAACCACAATACAAGACTTAATCCGGCTCGAAGGACCATGTCCAACCACGAGGTCGAGGGTCAATGAAACACGGTTAATGGTTTACAGGAATATTCCCACGTCTCGTTCCCACCGCTGCAACTCCTGTGTAGCGAGGATCTACAGCTTGACCGCCAATAACCCAACCAGTGAAGGTCAACTTCATTACTATCATGGTTTGTAAAAGTAAATTTTATTGCTTGCTGTCACAGAACAAATACTTAAAAACTCCGAGGGTACTTATGGTACGGGATAGTTAAATGAAACCGCGAAGTACAAGACTTACAGAGCCATCTATTGCCACCAAAATGCAACTTCTATACAGGGTGAAATTGTAAGTTGTTTCCAAATTTTTTAAAAGATCTATAAAACAATTGAAGTTTATCGTAATCATTATTAAAAATCAGAGTATTTTTCAAAGAAAAAACATTGATAATACATATTAGCATTCTTACGTTTTAAAGGCCTGGCTAAATTAATTATTTATGTTCTCACCTGGAAGCAGCGTTTGCCGAACATGTGGTGTTTTTTCTGCGGCTGGTGCGGCGCGCTTCGCTCGCGCCCATAGCCGCTGTCGTACGGCCGGAACTTGGAGCTGGAAAACATATCATTTGTCACTAAATTGGCCTTCAATTGGAGCTAAAATAAAAGATATTTGTGACTAAAGTACTTCAATTAGAGCTACATGCGATTTGTAGCTAAACTAGACTTCAATAAAGGCAAAATAGGCGAAATTTTTAGCTAAACTAATAAATGAGACTTAAATTTTACAGACAATATTCGTAGCTAAAGTAGACTTCAATTAAGGCTAAAATAGACAACATCTTAGATAAACTAATGAACTAGACTTCAATTTGAGCTACAGGCGACATTTGTAGCTAAACTAGACTTCAATTAAGGCGAAGAAAGACTAAATTTTTAGCTAAACTAATGAACTAGAATTCAATTACAGCTACAGACGACATTTGTAGCTAAAGTAGACTTCAATTTAAGCTACAGATGATATTTGTAGCTAAACTAGACTTCATTTTGAGCTACAGACGACATTTATAGTTAATCAATCATCGTACATAAATGTCAAAATCAAAAATCAAAATCAAAATCAAAAAATATTTATTCAGTTTAGACCACAAGTGGCACTTATGAACGTCAATAGAAAATAATAAAAAAAGAAAAAGGTAGCCCTTATGGGGCACTTTACATGTCTCCTTATCTTTTGGGCCCTACCAGCGCTTCGAGACAAACATATGGCAAGTGCTGAGAAGAAACGCCGGAACAAACTCAGTAATAAACAGCATGTATAGTCATGTAAAGTCTAAAATCAAGTGAAAATAGTACAATAACAGACAATTTGGATAAAACAGCCCAATGAAATATAAGATCAATAACCTCATCGGTATATTATTTTTTTAGACCATATAAAACAGGGGTGGCCAACTTGATAAGACATAAGATTAACTGTTTATTAACGAAACCCTGGGCGATCTACCACATACTTCTTGAAATTTTAAATGAAACAGCATAGTTTAGTACACAATCATATAGTATTGTTTGCATTGCCACGATCGACTGGACTAATCGACCGGTTGGCCACCTTTGATATAAAAAAATATTGTTTACCTATGAAACTCCTGCGCCGAATCGCTTCCATCGCACCACTCGCCGTCAGAAAGAGAGGGCACTCTCTCCGACCCCATAGATGAGACAGCGCTATCGGACGCCGAGTCGCGTTCTGAAACAACACTCTAATCAGTCCAGATAAGGTCGAAATTGCTAGTCATTAAAACAATTACTGTTTTGGCTACATGATTTATCATATCCGCGGTGATACGGGAGGAATGATAGATAAAATGATATTTATGATAAGGCAATAGAGTTCAAAATTATTTGAGAGTCATGATCTAGAATCTTGTAAAATTGCAAGTCAGTCAAATAACCCAAAATAAATAAAGTAGTTTGAATTACAGGTGTTTACATTAAAATAAAAGTACACAAAAATATTTAAATGTTAATATTTATATTCATATTCAATATAATTCTACAAGACTTGTAGATAGTGTCCGACCGAAACTAGTTTTACGACCGAAACCGAAACCGAAAACGAATTTCGGCAACGGTGTCTATTTCGGCCGAAACCGAAACCGAAACCGAAACTTCCTTACAAGCCTCATATTTTGAGGGAATAACTTTTTAAAAAAATAAAACCGACTTCAAATGCGTGAACACAAAAAAAACTAAAAATTGCGTATAAAAAGTTCATCCCCAATTTTCCACCCTTGGGGGTGAAATATTTTCTTCAAATTCGCATGAAACCACCCTTTTGATAATACCTAGTCAACAAAAAAATAATCGTTCAAATTGATTTATAATCAGCGGAGATATTGCGTATAAAAAAGTTCATCCCCAATTTTCCACCCTTGGGGGTTGTTTTTTCTATTATTAAATTTAAATGGGACCACCCTTGAGGTATTACCTATACGCCGAAAAAAGATTTGTTCAAATCGGTTCATAATTGGCGGAGTTATCGCGTAACAAACATAGAAAAAAAAACATACGGGTCGAATTGAGAACCTCCTCCTTTTTTTGAAGTCGGTTGAAAATAAAGAAAACGTTATTATAATCAGTCAGTCTTTATTGTTTTCTCTTTAAATTGCATTAAAATTGAACTTATAAAGTGCCTTTTTACTCTAAAAGGTATCAAATTATGTATTAAAAAAGAAAAAGAAGGATTTATAGTCTAGATTTTTTATAGTCATTACTTACTATTTAACTAATGTTTGTTTACGTAGGTATAGTATTTGCGAACCAAAAAAAAAATTATAGGTTAGATTAAACTTGATTATACTTTTATCAGTCATATTGAATTTTTTTTTTTATGTTTACACCCGCTCTTATGTTATAACGACATAAAACGAGATAAAACTTACCAAATTCAAATCAACTCGAAAACTCGACTAACAAAACAAAACTAACAGCAAACAAACAAGCGAGCGAATCACAATGGCTCTGATCGGATTCATTCAATCATTCAACGCGCCGAACATGACCGATAACAGCGCGGAAACTCCCGAATGCACAATCGGTTTCGGTCGTAGTTTCGGCAAGTTTGCCGCCGAAAACGAAACTAAACCGAAACTCGTGTTTTTACCGAAACTCAACCGAAAACGAAACCGAAACCGAACATTCGGTCGGACACTACTTGTAGAATTATATTTAGATTTTAAGTTAACGTTTCAGCCATTAGTGTAAACAACTGACTACCTGAACCGTAAACCCTTTGGACAGTATCTATAGACTATAATATTTTATTTTGCTTCATTTCATCCTTTCGCTCCATCACCAAAAAGTGTAAACACCGCTAACATACTTAGTAAACAATAGAACATTTTTTTTTCTGTGTGTATCAAATTATCTTCATTTAGCAAAAAAAAATGTAAACTCAGCCAAAAACAGTAAAGGTAAACGGCCAAACCAACGCGATCACCCGCGATCAGCCGGCGTGCAGCGATGGCGACCAGACTTAAATGCATTGATCGCCATCGTTGCACGCCGGCTGATCGCGTTTGATCGCGTTGGTTTGACCGAACCTTAAACAAATAAGTCATCAACGTAAACTGACCGGTCATCATCATGTGGGTGTGGTTGTGGTGCGGCGCGTGGTGCGCCCCGGCACTGTCCAGCATCCGCATCGTGTACATGCCTGTAAACAAAGAGAAATAATGTAAACATATTTAATTTACAACGGTGGTTAAAGGATAATAGAAAGAAGGGTCAAAAAAAGAAAGAGCCCTCCTCTTATTTACAATTTGAACTTACAGTTGGTAGAAAGGGCAAAAAGAAAGGGTAAAGAAGAGAAATCGCTGCTGTTATCTTTTGAAAATATTAAGAGCGGTAGACTTGACCATTGGACTACAAATCATAGTATACTAGACAATAGTCTGTATAGTACCGTTCTAGACAGAAAATTACTATAATACACTAATTTATCTGTCTAATTTAGTAAAGTTGTAGTGACATTTAACGTAGGATCAGTGACAATCGAGGAATAAAATACTGACGACAATAATTGAAATTTAAAGACACAATCGACAGCAGATTGGACTGTATTTTTTATTACCTAGTCCCAGTACATTACGTGACACAGTTTTAGTTTTTAGTTTTTAAAGCAGTAGGTAAACGTACATCTATGGGTCAACCCGCTACCTTACTTTGAAAACTTTACCTCGAAATGAATGCTGTATCCCCATTAAAAATTCTCGCACGTATGTAAACTACTTTCCTACTTCACAGTTACATTTAAAACTATTTCTTTGCCTAGCAATATCCAAACGACGAATGTGACTTGTCATTTGTTTTTTATGACAAACTCAAAGGCTTTAGTGACACGCCCACACTTTATCAGTTAGTAAAGCTACAAATATTACTTGTAATAATATTTAAATCTACTACACTATGACTTAAAACCACATGTAACCGTGACGAAGAAAAAAATAGCCAAATAAGTGCAACAATAATTCATTGACAAGTGTTTTTGATTAGATAAAAATATTGATCTATCTAAAGTTTAATGTATTTCGATAAGGTATCTTGTTTTGGTTGGATAACTAATCGATGTAGGTGACTCTATCATTATTTTTACACGTTTTTTACCGAATTGTACGCTAAAGGGTTGTCTTAAGGTTCCATATTGTGTATCTTAAAATACGAAAGATAACAAGCATTTTTAGCTGGTGATATGGGGGTGGCCAGGTATAACTAGTTCCTACTGAATTGAAAAGGACAACTGTGAACTCTTTCTGTGGTTTGTCGTAAAAGGCAAATATGCAAACATCAGGACTCGGCAACCCATCTGGCCAGTGTGGGGAGTGTAGGCCAAGTCCTCCATACTACATTTACCTCTGGAGACTAAAGTTATGAGGACTTCAAACTTGGATTTATACACACAAAATGGCAATCCTAGTCGTATCTATGTATGTCAATCACATAATCATTTTTATTAATTTTAATGGGTGTGCTACAGCAGACTTTAACTATAGCGATAGTAAAATCTTATCTTAGTCCAAAGAGTCCGTTTAGATTTTAGACGGTACGTCAGACTGATATGAGTTTGTGTTTCAAAATTGTATCTAAATCAACCACATAAAGATAGCAATATATCAGCTGCCTGTTAATTTACTTGTTATTTAGAGACTTGTTTTAAAAACTTTCAAATATTTTTACATCTCATTATTTTGACATTATTAATATTACTTCTTGCAAAAATTATTATGCAAAAAGTACAACTCTTCTCTCAATTTTTGCAATTTTAGGGACAAAAATGCAGTTTTTTATTATTGTTTCATGTGAAACCCTAGCTAGATAGAAAACCAATCTGAAAAGCATTGGGGGAGGCCGGTGTTCAGCAGTGGACGTCCTGTGGCTGAAATGATGATGATGATAGATATTGCACTTAGTTTTAATACTATCCACGGGGAGGCCATTACCAACCATTTTTTTGGCATGATTTGTGCCTGCTTAGTAATTAGCATCAGATATCATTTTTCTGATAACATTATAATCTCTTTCGGCTTTATCGTTGATAAATGATAACATTTTGAATGTCGACATGATATTTGATTATTTCACCAACATCACGATGACTTTTGTGTTATTTCGATTGATCGTGAATAACTTTTTTTTGGCAAAATAACTGTAGCTTGCAGAATTTTGGAAAAATATGATCTTTGTACCAGAGATTTTAATCTTAGTTTAAAGGTAACAATATACAGAACATAGTACCGAATACACATATCAAGTCACGTACACATTTTGCAGATTACTTCTTATCTGAGATATCCTAAAAAAACTGGATATATCTAGTAAGAAACTGGAGATTGTCAGTTACAGCTGAGTTATAAATGGTAGAGAAGCTATCGTAAGCAAAATACTTGATCCATTTTGCAAAGAATTAAAACTAAAGTTCGCTTCAGCTGCTGAGATACTTCTGTCGTCTAACCAAACTTAAAACATGCAGCGCGAGATCGCTTATAGTTGTTGCAATTCACGAAGGCGAGTGAGTGAGCTTTACATGTGTGGTGGCTCGCTACTGTGCGTTTTTCAAAAGTTTTGACAGACATTACACTATCGTTATGTGCATGTACACGTACACACACAAGTAAAGCTCACTCGCCTTCGTGAGTTGCAAGAACTAACATGAATGTCAAAGTCTAAAGTAAGGTGCATAGCATGCAATACAGTTAATTTGAACAGAGCGAGTGGTCGAATCGCGAAATCTAGTACGTAGTACTATCAACCACAGTTCCAACTACGTTTTTTCTCTCGCTCTCATCAAATGGCGATTCTTTACGATAGAACGAGACGACATGACCGGGAATGGGTAGCTGGAAGTGTGTAGATAATAATATACAAGTTATATTGATGCCAATTAAAATTTTTTTGTTTACATTTTTTGGCGTAAGTTTACAACTATGGCTAGATTGGAATTTACATCATTGGCTCATTTTTTTACCTGCCTGAAAGGAAGTAGGTATTGTAAATAAGCCGATTATTTATTCTTTTCATAGAAACAAGATATGCTTGTCACGATGAGTATTTTCATTCAGATACGGAAAATTTTCCGTTGGTTTGGTGAAGTTGTTGATAAGCGAAAAGTAAAAAGTAGTTATGTAAAGCAATTATTATTATTAATTTAAGATTTTTAATTGAGATTTGATTGTTTAATTGCGTGGTATAACTCGTACGGTTTGTTCATATAGCCAGTTTTAAGTAATTTATACAGGGTGTCCCAAAAAGTAGTGTACAGCCGAAGCCTAAAGGTAAAGCATTTGGATAGCCCTAGTGATGCTCGACCACTGGGCTTCGGCTTGACACTACTTTTTGGGACACCCTGTATATTATTAATCCTTTAAATTCAAGTAAAATTTGCAATCTACACTAATATGTGTTATAAAGGGGATAGATTTGATTGTTTGTATTGAAAAGGCTCCTAAACTATTGGACCTATTTAAAAATTATGTCATCATTAGAATGCTACATTATTTCTGATGAACATAGGCGGTACGAAGTTCGCCGGGTCAGCTGGTAGATGAATGATAGGTGGTACCTATACCTATCTCTTCGACGTCCTTGAGTTTCAGTAAAGATCTGACTTTATTGACACTTTACTGATAGACTAAGAGCTAGTGAACGCCAGACCTACGTCATTTTATAAAAGCTGAAAGTTTGTCAGCGAATGCTCCCAATACAGGAAAGAATGTTGGTGAATTATGAAGTTTGGGTCATCGTGGCTTTGGCAGCTATCCTAAAAAAACTGTCTGGCAAGGAGATGGAACTGTCAAAACTGTCTGTCAAAACTGTCCACAAAACCAGGGGCGTAGCTACTAAGGGAAGGGGCAAGGCGGGGCAGCGCCCCGGGGCCCCCAAGCTCAGGGGGCCCCCGAATCCTTACTAGAAAATCTCAATTGAACTGAACTTTGAAAATTTCTCCCTTTTTCAAAATAAATAAATAGAGAGAAATGAAACTTATATCCAGGGAAATCCCATAAATTCTTTCTGCGGGTTGGCAGTGTTGCGATATGTGCGTTTTATTATTCATCGATGTGCATTTTATTGTGAAGAACGGTTAAAAAAAAACTGTATCAGGATTAAGTAAGCTTAATGACAATAATCTTGTCAATAAAACCTAACCAGTTAAGATTGCAGTGGGGCCCCATTTTTTATTTGCCCCAGGGCCCTTGGTTACCTAGCTACGCCACTGGTCTTAACTACATTTTGCAGAAAGGAAATTAGTAATTTATCAGAAGCATATAGATGATTTGGCCTACACATCTCTTGAGAAAGCATGGCAGTATGCTGCACGTACGGCTAGCACGAAAAACTTTCGAGTTCAAATCGTTTGCGTACTCGAATCGCTATCAAAAGATTTAGTAAGAAAACTACAACAGCGCCCTTGTGAACGTGTTGTAAAGTGAACTTAGTATGAGATGTGGTTGCACGAAACTTAATTTGAGAATCAAAATTGTCACGTTATCGTTTATTTCGAAAATTGAGTATCAAATTTAACGAGTACGCAAACGATTCGAAGACGAAAGTTGTTCATGCTAGAGGTCTGGTACTGATCGTTTGGAGAAACAAGCTTCACTTTCCCGCCAAAAAGCCTAAGTTATTAATTACATTTTACTGTATTTTAAACGAATTACTAAATTATTATGTTTAGAATACGAGTATTATTAATATGAATAATAGCGAAGAAAAATGCATTTCTATTTTCTGTAAAGTTTATTTTTTGTTATGCTTAGTATTTTTTCCTGTCACTGCTTTTTTATTTTTATGTTATAAACCTTTCATTATTGAAAAAGTAACTAAAATTACCTACATCTAATTAAATTACGTAGTTCAATTGACTGACATGCTTTATATGAGCTGTCAAAAAGAGATATTTCCACAGATAGCCTGACCTGTGAGGCTGTGACCTAGACCTGTGACGTCACTAGTTGATTTATTGATTTTTCCTGTCAATTTAAAATATTTTTTTTTCATCAATCAAATTAAATCATTTATTTCAGACATAATCGTACCAACTTACCATCATATAACTTGTGGTATGTACTAAAATATTCAACCGGATCGGGATACAGCATGTGGCTCGTCAAATATGGCGTCACATGGTAGTAATGCGGGTAGGGGTAGTGCGCTAACGTC